AATTTTTAAGCATCTAATATACAGTTCGGGTCAATTTCAACTTGAATAATAGCCAAATATACCGCCGTGCTAAGGAAGATCACCGTGTTAACATTCGAGAGTTGCAAAATTTCCTTCGATAGAATGTTTATTTTTGAGCGAAGTTATGAACATTATTCCTTGCAATTTTCAGAAACTATTGGTGAAATTGCGAACAACACTATCTGAAAAAATGGAAGAAAAATATTCATAAGTTTACACGGAAATTTGTGTTTTATGATTGAAAATTTGGCAACGCCTGAAGGTTCATACGGCGTTTCTCCTTAGCGCGGCAGTGTAAGGGTTTTACCTTCTTCTTTCCTCCGTCCCCACCTTCTTTCTCTCTTCCTTTTCTCCTCTCCCTTTCCGGGCGGACGGGGGGGGGGGGGAGCGCACGCTCCCTACGCCCCCCTTGAATCTGCCCATACGTGCCCCTATAACGTCATCATCTTGTTCTATAATGACGTCATCAGCCGGACAGCGGCCGGAGAGAAAGATGAACTTTTTGTGCTCCTGAAGAGGGCTCCCCGGGCGGGGCGGGAGCTCCTCGAGACTACGTGATTTTTTTCCGCCGCTCGCGAATAGCGACCCAANGGGGGGGGGGGGGGGGGAGGGTGAACGACTGCAAAAACAAGCGGCCGATCACGGCAAATGACGCATCAAATCTGAAGAGGTTCGTTCGGAGAAAAGTGAGCAGGTGCGGGAACACCGTTCGCATTTCCCATGGGTGACGCCCGAGGTAACGAACCAACGTAGTACATACAACGTCCAATCGATTCCCATATATGCAGAGGTGTCTTCTTTTTTTCCGCATCCGCCTGCTTTTCTCATCCCGCCTCGGTTCTCCGATCCGCAGTCTGTGTGCAGTGATACCTTCAGCGGCCTCATTTCAGCTTAAGCTTCGAGAGGACGAAATTAACAATTCATAGTCCCGAAGCCCCCCCCCCCCNACTATTTACCGATGTGACACACGGGGACCTTAAACTTGGAAAATTTACGCAATGGAGAATTTGCAGGTGTCTGAAATTTGATGAGTTCTGTGTTCGAATGGACGCTGCCAAGTGAGCTGAACACGAGGGTACCCTTGGTTTATAAATTGAACAATCATTGGAGGAGAGATGACAAAATGCTCTAATTTGCTAAAATACATGCATTTAAATGGGAAATGCCGCCAGATGACGTCACTGAGCGGCACATTTTTCTCACTTTTGATTCTATTTTTATACTATTTACCATAGCCGAAAAAAGTATAAAAAATACTGTGAAATCAGCTTTTTAGGCACTTTTAGATGCAGCATTAAAACATTTGCGTGTAAATTCTCCATCATGGACCTCCTGTATACCGCATCACCAAACGTTCGAGGTGCTCTGAGACCGTCAAATTCGGGTTTCTGATGGTCGAAATCTTAGCAAAGCACCTTTCTCTGGAACCTCTACGTTAATTTAGTGACACTAAATTATGGGGAAAGAACTTTGCCCCCCTCCGCCCCCTCAATTTTAGGTTTCAATATTTCGAACAGGATTGGCCCGTTTGGGATTTCTTGGTATCGATGTGGGGCAAACTTCTCCTTACTTTCTGCATCTGCTGTAACTTTAAGAAAGACAGGAACACTAAATTTTATAGCCATGACCCCCCTTTTATCTCCCGCGAGGGGCCCGGAGCGGCTTCGCGGCAGTGTTTAGATTTCTGGGGGTTGATTCCTATTCATCCCCGCGTGGACTCCGTCTAACTTAAAATAACCGATCAATAAACCTTGGAACGAAAGGTCTGAACTACCCTGTATTTATGCTAAAAAACATCCGCTTTTTTGCTACCAGGGTTCGAAACTCATAGGCGCCCAATGCGCCTAAGAAATCTGTCATGGCGCCTAAAAAATGAAGGCTCTGCGCCAACGTGGCCCCTAAAAAATCACCCCTTCCCTTCCTCCAAAAAATCCTAAGTTTTTCGTTTGGTGATTTTTCGAAATGTCCTCCAAGTTACAGCTGTTAGATCTGTAACTAAAACACCTTGCTTGCCTCTAACTTTTCACTATTTGCGCTGTTATGCATAGGCAAAAAGTGAATTTGGCCCCTAAAAACAAGCTTGATGCGCCACATGGCTCCTGAAACTCGAAGATGAGCTTCGAACACTGTTGCGACCGTCAGAAATAGACGTCCGAACAGACCAACGCAACTTGCCAATCGCCGCTCTGAGGTCGTTTTCCGAGGAGAATATTCGGAGTCGGGTAAAAGTAGGCAGCATCCAAGAAGACAAGATATTCAAGATATGCGCTGCCACTTCGACATCCTGGTGGTCGGAGTTTCCATTTAAAGTGCCATAAAAGTTGATAATATCCGATCCAATCTCGTCGGGCAACGCCGACAAGTAATACTTTCTCTCGACGCACGAATCATCACCAAGAGCTAGATTTAAAAAAAAAGAAAAACTATCAACCTGCATCCTGCAATCCTAATTTTTCGACCGGATCAGGCGACTCCTCTTCACGATCGTCACCCTGCTCGTCGCGTCGTCGTCAAGTCTCGTAGTCGCTCCTCCGACGTTAGCGGACTGATTATTGAAATTGATAGACAAAGCAATAGACAAAGAAGAAATGGGGGTCTGGAGCTATCCCAATCCTGGACCGCCTCCCCACCTGTCCTGCAAGGACCTATAGTAACGTCATTTAAGATCAGTTTTTTAGTCATAATCTTTTTTTGAAGGTTATTCTCCTGTTAGCAGCTGCTCTCTCAAAGCTGTTTTATTTTCACGGAGCGATAATTAATATTCGCATATAAAACGGGGGGGGGGGGGGGTCAGTTTTTTCTCTCCTGATTTTCGATGTGTTTTCTTCTGCCACCTCGCAACAGCGCTCAAGTGCAGCAAGAAGCAATTAAAACATCCGAGACACTGTCTCTGCCATCAGCGCCATAAATTAGGCGCCCTGATCTTCCGCCAATTAATCGCTTCGGCCTCAGAGTTCATCAGCCGTTCCAAATTAATTACCAATGTCATATTCTCCACACGGATTCGTACTTACTTTTCGCCCACCATGTTTCGATTGTTCTCACTTCCGTATGATCTCGAGGAACCTGCGAGCATCGTAAAGTTTTCTCTTTTTCCCTCGTGCATCTCCGAGGCGGACGAAATTAAGAAACGGATTTGTATGTTTGCTCTATCGATTCCAGTTACGCCTACCCCTCAAAAAGCGACTAAGATCTTAAGTATGTCCATCCCGTTGTGATCCAACTTAATTTCAGTTTAATGGAGCTAGCGCCGTTAGCTTTCATGGAAAAACAATAGGAATTTCGCGTGAAATGTTTCATAAAATTTCATGCAAGATATGGAAGGTTTGAAAAATGCGATTATGAAAGAGATGAACAATTTAACAATATGATTGAGAATTGGATATTTTGCCCTAACTGCAGTGATCCACCGTAATGTCTATTAATAAGTCAATTACAATACCGAAGGTTGAAATCCAATAGAAAATGTATCCTGAATGATCATATAAATTCTAGACAGAGGGAAAGAGAGTTTGATTATAATCATGACTTCCAAAGTATGTAGGAAATGCTCGGTCAACTTGGTTGGTTTTTATTTGCATTTTGCCAACCGGGAGGTTTGAGTGCTCCATGAGCCGCATGGAAACAGAGAGAACCACAATATGGTCCATTGGCTCTCGAATGCATATAAATCGCCTTCAAAATATCAAATCTGCAATTCCACGACTGTTGCATTTGAATAGTCAACGTTGCCGCTGGTTGAAGGAACGTCCTTCAACCGGTTTTATGCAGTTTTATGCTTGTCCTACCTCTGCAATTCGTTGAATCATGTGTTCTTATTTTTGACATCAGTAATGGGTCAGTTGCGCAGTTTTAAGATTTTTGGTGTCATCGGAATTTTTCTGGAGTTTTTCAAACCTCCAGAAACCTTCCAAAATCCAAGTGAAACGCCCCAAAATTTAGACTTACAAAACGGTCTCTCTTCCGCGAGAATAGGGCCTAAACGCTCGCGACGTTACAATAAGTTCACGAGTGAGCTCTGAATAAAGCTTTTTTGAGCTTTCAGGGTGTCTGCAAGTCCGGATTTTCCGGAAAGTCTGGAAATAGCACTAATTTTTCAAGCGTGGTCCGGAAGTACTGAAGAAGTGCGCAAATTTCGCTAGGAGGTCCGGAATTTTTTCCTTTTTTTGTCATTTTTGTCGCAATTTGAGCGAGGAATTCAACTTTTTGAAACTTTCCGAATTTCGTCGATTGGAGTCACTGAAAAAGTACTGAAATTTTCTGTTGAGGTACTGAATTTCTTGGGAATGTACTGGAAAAGTGCTGTAAAAGTACTGATTTTTGGCCAGCCTGTTTTAGTAGACACCCTGTGGCTTATGAAGCATTTGTGTACTTTCAAAGTGACAACGTCGCATCGTTCCCCCAGCAAAATGTTCCGTTTAATACTTTCATTAAAAGTCATGTACATCCCTGGCCCTTGCAACAGGCTCATGTCATTTTTCCCTTATCACATCTACTTCCTCGAACATCGTTTTTTTTAACTCTCACTCATTCTGTCATCTAGCATTACTCACAGCTTTAAAAGTGTGTGCACTTAAGAAGCAGCAAACAAGTTGTGAATATCTCGCCGTCTTGAAGTTTTATCTCCCGTACGTAAATATCGTCCGATACAACTCTCAGAGACAGGAACCCACGAGGTTGACTAATATTTTGCCAAACGTCTGGCGAATTTCAATGACTTAATCTCAGTCAGATTGTACAACGCTTCAATAAATGAAATCCACTAGTAATACTCACTCACACCATCTTCGGCCGTAGATAAGTTCAGAATCGACTATGAGTCATTTAACATCATCATGGGAATCGAGGATTTTTCGTGGAATTTCTGAAGTCTTGAGAAAATTCAGGAAATGTATCTGAACCAAGTAACATGTATCAGAAAATTATCGGAAAGTATTTTCGCAGTTTTTGTAAAATTGGTTCATTTTGTTTTGTTACAGGTCATTCAAAGCCACTCAAAATTTCCAGTCATCCCGAGGAAAATAAAAATAAGTAAACGCTTGGCACAATGTATGCACCCCACCCTTCCGTCGGGGGTTCACAAAAAAGCCTTAGATACGTACAACACAATTTTCAAATGTATAGGAACGAACCGCTTGAGTCAAGAACTTTTTATCTACAGCGCAGGTGAATACAAATATTTCATTGGATTGCTCCTCATGCATTTATCTTAAAGGATACAAGATAGGTTTTAGTTTTGATAGACATTTTTGTCATAAATGAGACTGTCCATAAAAAAAGTGATATTTGTTGCACGAAGCCTCAAAATTGAATTATTGATAACAGAGCATCAAGGAATGTTTCAAACACTTTTTGGATCAAAAATTGCCTACATATACCATTTCAAAGCAGAGTTGGCGTATTGAAGCTTGCAATTATGAAAAGTGCTTTTTGGAAAAAGTCATTACATTCTCATCTGCCGCCATGTTCATGGTACAAAATTTGCCGGATTTTAATGCAAGTTTTCGTCCTCTCGTCGCACAATAATGACCCAAACCACTTATAACTTATTCAGTAGGACTCTGGATAAAGTTTTCGATTGAAATCTTAAAATCTGATTTATCGATCTAGCTTGACAAATATACATCTCTATAAAACTACATTGATTTGGACCTCCGATGAGTGCCTCTAATATTTCCCTAAAACATTGTGTTTTGTTTCTTTTTAATAAATGAAAGAACATTCATACTTAGTAATTTTTTCAGCATTGTAACGTTCCCAACAATCACAAAACTGTACATTTTTTTCTATTTATGACAGAATAATGCTCCTCTGGATAAATTAGGTGTGTAATGTTCTTAACGATCCCACAACAGTTCATTTTTTTCCTACTTATGATCGATTAATGCACCTTTGGATATACTAGACATTAGTATCCTTGGATACAAAGCACCACGTTAATGCTGTCTTCACTATTTTTGGTTTACAGGTTTATTTCCCTTATTGGGTTACGCAGAACAGAGTGTGCGACCCATCCTTTTAGGAATTTATGAAACTCATTTCGTACCCCTAGGGGAAAGGCTCGGCCCAGCCTTGAGTGGTTTTTTAAGTGGTGTATTGCCTGGTCTTGAAGAAGGCTACGACTATTATGATAGGTGAGCTCTTTTGTCTGATGTTTTTACTGCTTATTTAACTTCTTTTGAAATGGCTCCACCATTTTTTTTCTTCGAGTTCTAAACTGAATGTTAGCGTTGAATATGAGAGATCCCTGCTGCAGTTCTGCATGAAAAATTGAATCCTGTCAGTGCTTTCCGATTTTTTCCAGGTAACTGTAACCATTTTCAAGTGGTCGTATTTCAGAAATCAGATAATGCCAACTCAAAAATTGTAGGAAAATAAAAATTAAATTTTGTGTCCAACAAAGAATGTTTAAGTTTGTTTAAGAGTCGCCCAGTGCTATGTAAACTCCAGAACCTTTGCACCATCAGGAGGCTCCATTTAAGAGTAAAATCAGTAAAAAAATGTAATCAAAAGCGGTTGAAATGCAGCGAAGTTATGCATTTGTAAAGATTTTCACTTTAAAAAAAGGCAATGCCACAACCAAGCGCCTCTGGAAAAAACCGCAACTATTTTTAAGTATCTCCAGTGCTACTAAGCCAAGTGTCCATAGTTTGCAAATACCTTGAGGCATTTTTATTCGCTTTTCACACATCTCTTTCACGTCACATATTTTTAAGTTTTTTATTTTTTTTTTTTTTTTTGTGCCAATTTTTTTAAATCGTTTTTATTTGTTCTCATCAACAGAACGATAGAACTTCTTCACAAAGTATGCGAGGGAGTTGGTCCTCCTATTTTCTACGGTCATCTTTGGGAATGCCTTGCCTCAAACGAAGCCATCCGATTGGCTGCCATAACTTTTATTTTAGGGAACTTTGACAAGAAAAAAACCATGGAAGATCAGCTTTACATCATGGGAACAAATGTTGATGTAATGGTAAGCAGTTATTTCTCTTTGTTGCTGATTAAGCTTCATTGGATACCAATCATTCTTGCACGTCAGTGCTTCTCTAAATATTTTCTGTCGCTCTCTCAGAAAATTATGATATTGACTCTAAGATGCAAGAACATGATGTCAATATTCGCCTTAAAACGTTGGCTCTCCGATGGAGACAGTCCGGTTTTTCCTTTCATTTGAAACTGAGTAAGAAATAGGTAACAAGCGCAGTAAATTCAAGTGAGTTTTAAAGTACAATTAAGTTCTGTAGTGTGTATAGATTCACGATTTCAGCAGATTCCTTTAAAAGTTCTGTTGTTGAAAATGTTTGCAATGTTATTAGAAGAAATCATGGCATTATCTTAATAAAACATGGTTGCATTTATCCTCGGTATTTTTTTAAAAAGAAGAAGAAGAAGAAGTTTAAAAGGATGAATTAATCATTCAGAGTCCTGCAAATAGGAATGGAATACAATAAAATAAATTAAATTTTAAATCTGAACTTTTCAAGTAAGTGGCTTATAATTTCGGCAAGGTTTTCATAACTTTCTTTATTTTACAGGTAAATGGGCTGTGTGCGTGTGTGGAAGATTCGGGTGTTTTGGTACAGAGGAGTGTCTTAGATCTTTTACTCGTTGGATTCCCAATGCATAATAAGCAACTAGTTCGAAGTGATATGACAAGGATTGTAACAGCTGCCCTTGACACCTTGCTCCGGAGGGACATGTCGCTTAACAGGCAAGTCTAATATTACTTCATATTTTGTAGCTTGTAATTAAGCATGATGTCTGCAGATTCCGTCAAAAGTTCTGTCGTTTCAGAGGGTGTGGCGGTATGTTTGTAATGATAAGTATAAGAAGATTTTGTTGCAATCTCTTAGAAAAACATTGTTGCATTTATCCCTGGGAATTTTTAAGACTTGTGCTTATCTGCAATGTGTTAGTTCTCCATCACACAAGCTCCTTAATTAAAGCAAGTATCAAGCGAATACATAAAACCGTTTTCAAGCAATATCTGCCAAACATCTTATCACAGCTTCTGATAATCCTTTTCTTTGGGGATTCCAAAAATGTGTTATTTTTTGGACGAAACATAGTTTTTCAGAATTTTCCTCTTACAACTTTATTTTTTCAATTTATTCTACAGATTCAGCTCTGTTCTTCCTGTTTTTATCCTGTGAATCTTTGAGCAACAGAAAAAGATAAAGTGATAAGGCTGCTCTATTCTTGTAAAACTTAGAAATAAGTGATGAGGGGAAAAGAAAGCAGAGGAAGTACATCGATTGTTAGTCATAATCTTTGTCATAATTTCATGATTTTTCTCATCAAGTAGTTTAGAGGATTGCGTAATTCCTTTGACTTAACTTTAGCGTATTAATCGTGGCATTTTTCCTCAGAAAAGAGAATACAATTTTCAATTTTTATTTATCTTCATAGATGTCCATGAAATTTGACCACTAATTCACGAATGATTTTTAAATAAAAATGTGGTCGAAAGATTGTGCGCTTATTCCTCAGTTATAAGCAGTTGTGTCTCTTGGTAAGAAATAACAGGCATAGGATCTGGTGTGGGGTTTGCAGCGGCAAGTTAAACTGCTCTTGGCAGTTGACCAACGGATTTTTTGTTTTAAGAAATAACAATGTGTTTTTCTTTTTTGGATGTAACTTTGCTTGAGTTGTTCAAAAATGGCAAGGGATAGTAAAATACTGGGTGATCCATACTGGAAGCATCGCCTGTTTTTCATCATCATTGCTTGATATATTAGTTTTTGAAGTTATTGGATGAGTGAAATCTATTGTGAATTGCCTTTAGACTTTGGTCTAGTGGCTTTTGCAAGAAAAAACAAAAAATCACTTACAAATTGAGCCGCATCAGTGCCAATTTCAAGTTATCATTGTCTGAAACTCGCCTTTATGTCCGTTACAACAGGCGTTTGTTTGCATGGCTTCTTGGGTCGGAGGTGAATATGGCATTAGTTAGTGCAGAAGTGCAGCAGAGCAAAGAAGTCACCTCTCTGGACACGGTAAACTGGTATTTTGAAACCTACTCAAGGGAACTTCTCACTCAGGTAATTCTTCCAACCAGCTCTTTCAATTTCCTTTGAAGGAGTTTGAAAAATTGCAAGATTTTCATCGCTTTAGCACTAATAGAGAGGCTACCGTCTGTTAATACCAGGAAACCTGGAAAATATCAGGAATTTCGATGTCAGCAGAAAAATATCAGGAAAATCAGTCCTGAATCAGGAAATTCTGAGTGCATCAAGCATTTTTGAACTACATCAGGGTGTCCACAAGTCCGAAATTTCCAGAAAGTCTGGAAATAGTACTGATTTTTTAAGAGCGGTCCAGAATTTTTTCCATTTTTTTGTCATGAACGAGAAATTCAAATTTTTTAAATTTTTTATGATTTCGTTAATTGGAGTTACTTACTGAAAAAGCACTGAATTTTTCTATTGAGGAAATACCTATTGAATTTCTTGGGAATGCACTGAAAACGCAACGTAAAAGTACTGATTTTTGGCCAGCCTGTTTTAGTGGACACCCTGTACATGCAATTTAGCAAACGCCAAATTTAAAAATTTCACTCCATTCATTAAATGTGTTGGTTCGTAAGATTAAACAAGTGCCAATTTACTCGCGCAAAGAAACTAGGAAATTTCATTTAAAATATCAAGAAGAATGTGGAAAATATCAGGAAATCCAAAATGAATTTTTAGTAGACACCCTGTCTAACTGGCGTGTACAATTTGGCTGCAAATCAACTTTTTTATTTCCTGAACTTATAGCTGACGATTGCCCTGAGCCTCAACTAAAAATGATAAATTACATGTACTTGTCTTTGTCTCCTAAAATACTCTTTACTAATCTTGAAGAAGAGTATCGCAACTGTTATTTTGAACATTTCAAGTTGCACTTTCTTTGCCCAGATGTTGTGTACCCTCTTGTAGGTATCCATCAACATCAATCCAACTTTCAAGAAAAGATTCATCATACAGGGTAATAATTAAAGCAGTTTTTGAAAAAATATTTGATACAAAACTGCAAAGTTAACAAGCCTACTTTGAGGTATTAAAAAACTGTACAAAAATAGATAAGGCTATTGTTGCTTTTTTGTATAGAGTACATAGAGTCGTAATGTAAGTGGGAGGGCTGGCGCCACTTTTAAGCATTTTCCATGTCCCGAATTCCAAGACTCTTGTGTGACGCCGGGTCACTTTTTCGATACATGATCAATTGTTTGCAATACACGGGTACCCGGCCATCCGATGTAAACTAAGGAGATAGGAATTACCACGTATTCCACACCGCCATTTTGGACCGAACATGTATCGAAAAAGTGACCCGAGCTCAATGCACACCAGGCTCGGAACTCGTCGAGCAGAATATGGTGCCAGCTCTCCCATTTACATTACGACTCTACGTACTCTATGCTTTTTTGCTTCAATTTTAAATATTTTAAAACCCTTTTCCAGAGTTTCATTTCACTAATACAAGATAAAATTTTGTTCTTTTTTCAGGCCATCAAAATAACTTTAAATGAAGCAACTAGTCATAATCCTCACAATTTGAATCCTTACAAAATTTTGATCTCATTAATTGACAAACCTGAAATTGGCCCGGTGATCCTAGACGATATATTGTATGAAGTTTTCAGGTATTGAAACAAATTCTGTCTTACAATATCCTCATCAGTGACGATTAGTACTTCATTTTTCAAGCCTCCACACCATATTTTTCTCGTTTTTAATTAAAGATGCATTATTTTACCAAATGCTTTCAATGAGAGAAAACCATGGTAGCATTTCCCTTCTATGGAGTTTTTAAAGTAAATGACCCCAGTGAAGGGTCACTTAATGATTAAGAATGACTTGAGGTCACTTCAGGAGAAGTGGTGGAGGGATCCATAAGGACCAGTTGAGATTTAAAAAAAGAACCATCAATCAATTGCTAAATTGTGCTGAATTAAAAAATGACCATGATTCCTTCCCACTGCACAATAGCTTTTGGGGAAATTAAATTTCTCCTCAAAAAGCAAGAAATTATGAATTTGAAGGTTTATCACGACCTCTAAATGTTAATCATATTTGCAACAGTTTGACTACATGCATTTTTAAACATTTATGAAAGTTCCTTTGTTAATTCTGAAATTTGTTATTTTCCTTCGTTGAAGTAAGCTACACCCTATTGTACTTTTATTCATTTTAATTCTTTAAAATCAGCTGTAAGCCTTTTTTTGTTGTAGTATCTTTAAGTTCGTGAGTTTTTTAGGAATTTATTCTACTTAAAAATTTCTGTCATGCAAAGTATTTTTAAGAAAGTTAGGAAATCAAGGATGCTCTTGAGCAAGAGCACCTGATTTCAAAGGCCTCTGCATCCATAAAATAACATTTAATTCCATTAATTTCAGGTTACTATATTTGTGCTATCACAATCCAGGAAGCAAAGCCTCTAATAGTAGTGAGTTGTTGAAAGCAGCAAATCTACTTTTTGGAGCTCTTGAGCCTCGTTATTTATGGCAATACACCGGGACTCTCTTCTCTGATGCTTGTAAGAATATGAAGTCTCGCAACTACGATGAGTATTCGGAGCAGAAACCTGTTCAACCTGTCGGTAGTGGATACCCAATCCTAACAGAAGTAAGTCTTTTCTCAGGCGTAGAATATATTATTTATAATTTTTTTTCTATAATTCTGCTGTGATTTAAATGAAAAAGGAACCGTCAACCAGATCAAGTAAGAGTCTGATTCAGGCATCAGCGCTTCAAAAAATGGCATAAAGTGTCCGATCACTTTGAAAAAAACTCTAATTTTTGTATTTTTAACTCAATGAACTTGCTCTATGGAGTAATTGTGACCAGTTTTTTAGTCTTTCTGTGTTGATCTCGTTTATTTTTCTTGAATAAAAAAAGTCCTTCAAATTGCTCTCCAAATAAATGAGTTAAATTTAGGAGATTTTGCTATTTTTGTTTAGCTATGTTTGTAATTTTCAACCATTTCAATATTGATTGATTAAACTTCCCCTAAAGCTGGGACAATAATTATGTAAAGTATGACAAAAAGCAAAGTAACTTGTTTCAACCGTGGATGACTTAGAAGGTATAAAAATGAAAGGAATTCATCTTGATTTTGAAACACAATTTTTTGTTAATATTTCCTGTGTATATTTTTGCAGGTCTGTGCTATAATTGAATTTTTATTAGACGTGGTGCTATTAGAAACTTACTCGGAGACTCCCAGTGAACTCCTGCCGAGCCTCTTTTTACACATCATTACAACACTAACCGATCAGTGCGACTCTCTTTCGGCCAATCAAATGACAGTGTGCCTTCAACTTTGCACAAGACTCCTTTCCCGTATAACGCCTTCGGTCGTTATGCCGCAGCCTGTCGACCCACCGGCAGAAGCAACAGTTGTTCCTAAAAGTAAACCTGCACAGCAACCAGGAAAAGCAGTGCCAGTTAAAAGCTTAGAACCAAAGAAAGAAATGCCCCAACCATTGAGTAGGGTTGATGATTTTAGTAGTATCGATTCAGAAGTGTCAACATTATCAGAATTTTTACCATCAAAATCCTTGGAAAATTTAAGTAGTCTAGATACAATTACATTAACTGAAGATGCCACCTCTCAAAACTTGTCAATAGCAACATATTCAACCCTAGAAGCAAGCACTGCAGAGAGTCCCAACTCCGTAAGGTCAGCTGAACAAAATTCCATTATGGAGAAGTGTTTGAAGCAGTACGAGAAATTTTATGTAACTTTTGTTTATGGAGTTCGTGTAAAAATAGGTGAAACTAAAGGAGTGTCAGTGTTATTAGACGCTCTAAAAATTAAATCCAATATTTCAACAGTTGAAGATAGAACTAAGCAACTCGAAAAGCTGCTACGATTAGTTATAGCCCCTGACTCCTCCTCAAGTGATAGTTGTGTTGTGCCGTTTAGCTCCACGAGTGATTCAGCGTTCGCATTCTCTGATAGTGATTACTCATCAGCAAGAAGTGAGTGCTGCGACTCACTCGGTTCCGTATGGACCAAGTCCATGCATCTGTCTTCCAAGCTCCTAGTCGAGTTTTCAACATTCCAAACTTCTGTTGGCGACTCTGTGTTAGTTAGAAGAGAGCCATCTTTAGGTAATTATTTCATATGTATATATGTCCTTCCAGGGGTGCAGAAACTTCCAAGGGTTCCCTCATTTTAAGTTTTCGCAGAATTTTGCCCGACACGCGGTCCACAGTTGGGTTCCCTCAAAACAGCGCAGTCAACAGTTTGGTTCCCCCAAAAACAGCGCGCTTGACAGTTAGGTTCCCTCAAAGTAGTGCACTTGACAGTCAAGTTCCCCCTAAACCCAAAAAAATAAATAAAAAAAAAACTCCCAACGTTCCCCCAATTTCTTTGTCCTTACATGGGTTCCCCATTTCACGTGAACGGCCGGTCGCAAGGTTGGGAAGTTTCTGCACCCCTGTGTTCTTCCTATCTCTCCTTTCAATTTTTTGTCCAAACAAATGCTGAAATTATTACCTCTTTTAAATTACAGTCAAACCATTATTACAATGAAACTCAGGGGTGGTCGATCTCTTTTTTAACTAACCGACTTTAAATGAAAAAAATGAGAGTAAAATCGGGGTGCAAAAAAAATAAAAAAAAAAAAATGATTTAAGAACACCCTTTTTTATCTATTTATTTTTCCTTTAAACTCGGAAGGAGCACTTTTGGTATAGATAGCACAACTGGCGGGCCACTGGCCATTATTGACCTTATATTATTAGAGTTGTGTGATAGAGGATTTTTAGGTTTGATTAAAATTTTATTGCTTTAAAAAACATTAACTGTGATTACGATTTAATTTCAACTGAAATCAAAAATAGAATAAGTAATATAAAAAAGGAAGAAATTGAGTAAAAGTTTCTTTTTTCCAGTTTTTGTGGATTATATAACCATGAAAAAGTTCAAGGATAAGGAATATTTTATCAAAAAACTTCTCAAAAGATTTTGGAAGCTAAAAATTTTATTCCAATTTATTTTTCTTAGAATTTAAAATCATATGAATAGAAGAATCGTCCAAAAAAGTGTGATTCGTGATATTTTTCTTTTGTTTATGCTTGATAGCAAACATTTTTTTTCTTAAATCATAGTATTATTTTATTTTTACCTTTATTTTCAGAAGATGAGTTGTTACCTGAGTGGTTGCAAGTTCTGATTGTTTGTGCCTGTTGGTTAGGCACAACTGCCCCATCCCTTCAATTGGTTGCCATAGCTACATTACTAGACCTCGTTTCCTTATGTCAGACGCAGAATCAGCTCCCGCCAAGCAATCAGCAGGCAGGAATTATACCTGTTCTGATCATACCTTTACTCAAACCAAACCATTTAAATTATATCGAAAATTGTACTAATTCTTTTCAGGTGAGTACTTTTTTTTTTTTTTCTCTCGTTCTTCTAGCAGCTAGCTTTTATTATGAAAAGTTCAAAGCGGTGAGAGTAACTAAATCTCTCAAATATTTGAACTAGTAGTTACAACACTTTACTCAGCATTTACAAGTATATGGACCATTGAAAATAATATTGATTTTTATTTAGAACGATAGTATGCTATTTTATTGGAATAGTATTTTCATCACATTGGCATTTAACAGTTCAAAATTCCTCCTTCAAGCAAGTTTTTGCCGAAAGATCTGGTAAAGGACCCCGCACACCTCTTATGGGAAGCTGTACCATGAGCTACCAGCATGCCTTCTGACTTATGTATTTCGATTCTCCTCAAGATGCTGATCAAAAGTTATAATTGCGCCAACTTTCTACGATGCACTGTTTTCGCAAAAAACCTATGAGAAGATTCAATTATTCGGTGATAAAAAGTCAGAAAGATTCCTCATTTCAGTGCTTGATTGACAAGCAGCTGTGTGTCAACAAGGAAATCATGGGGACTCCCGCACCGAGCGGCAGTCTTATCTCGGATTCCGCACGCCGTTTTGCTCGACCACCATCCAAATCAGATTCTTGAGGAGCATAAGAACAGGAAAGTCTGAACGTCTACCGGGCGAGTGCGGGAGGGAGATAGCCCCTGATTCGGCAGGTACAGATAAGAAAACGGACACAAGCTACGTTTTTTCCTTATTCACATCGGGCCTGTTCTCAAATGCTTTGTTCTTTTTTATTCATAGTCACCGAATAATTGAATCTTCTCATAGGTTTTTTGCGAAAACGGTGCATCGTAGAAAGTTGGCGCAATTTTAACTTTTGATCAGCCTCTTGAGGAGAATCGAAATACATAAGTCAGAAGGCAATTCTTCATGGTGCAGCTTCCCATAAGAGGTGTGCGGGGTCCTTTTTTGCGGCAATAAGTCCTCACCTTTTTGACCATCTTTGATATGCCCCCCCCCCCTCCTTGGGAGAATTTTCCCCTCTAGCCCTATAAAGTGATTCTAAGCGAAGTAGGACAAGATCTACTACTAAAGTGAAATTCTTTTTCATTGAAATTTCAAGGTATTTTTCATGAATTTTCAGAGCCTTTTTGAAATTCCATTGAAATCATACGTGGAATCTCAAGGGCAATCTTAGCAATGCTATCTCTCTTTTATACGTAGAGCTCCGACTACTTCTCAAGTTCGTCAATGCTTGACATATTATGTATACTTAAAGCATACGTCTTGCAAAGCATGTCATTCAGAATTCTAAGGTTTACAATTTTTTATATGCATAAATTGACTCAAATAAATCTTCAAAAAGTGTAATTAATGTTTCTCCTTATAACTTTGTCTTTAAGATGATAGCGTATTGGTTGTGGAATCACCTTGGCACACCAAGACACCAAGTGAGATGTGTCGAATTATTACACCAGTTACAAAGTGTTCTTCATCATTCTGACATCACTGAAAATTGTATTGGTAGGTTGTTTTCCTTACCCTGTATTGTATGTATAACATAAGTTAATGTGCCTGCTTGTGCAAAATTTACCTTGATTTTCGCAAAGAAGTTTCATTAGAAAAGTGATTTTCGCTGTTATCTGGATCCTTTTAAAAGTACAGTTCGCCTCATGTGACTTAATTTCTCAAATAATTGGTTTTCAGCAGCATTTCAGTGGGTTGTAATGTTCGATTTAATTTTTTGTATTGTATCTCTTAATGTTTCTTTCAAAATTTAAACTCGCGAATTCAAAGGGTGACAAAAAAAGCTCTAATTTGATGGTCCTAAAATTCCGATACCAGTTTAGTGTCACAAAATTTCACACAGTTCTAAAGTGTCAACATTTCCTAGGGCTAGGTGAAAATGAAAAAACTTAAAATTTGTGAGTCCTTTTTTGCTGGTATTCAATACTAACTCAAACTGTAAAACCTCAATTATGCAAACTTATTCCAAGTTTTGTAATTTCCAATTCATATGTTAGGTATTGAATTTAACATCATACATTTCTAAAAAGTGCTGCATCAACTCTATTTAAAAATTGTAATCTCTTCTCATGGGGCGAAGCAGTCTCTTTGTCTACTTGTAGATAATCAAGCAAGCATTCCGAGGGCTCACATTTCCTGAAAGTAGTGATGCACCTGCTGCGGCACCAGGGCGACACCACATCTATATATTGTTGTCAGATGTTGGTGTCTAAAAATTACACACATTTAAAAATTTGCTACAAAAAACTAGTTTGAGTACCCTAATTTCAAAGAAATATGCACAAAGATGATATATCATACATATATCAACAAAGTACCTAAAACAAAATCATTTATTCGCTGTTTACTTTTAATTCAATAACGAGCAGCTACCTCCCGCATATTGGCCCAAAACCTATTTCTGCTCAGCCCTCTTTGGTCCTCCAACTAAGTTTGTGTATTTTACTCATCTATTTTTCAGTATCTTCAACATTTCAAGAACTAAAACACTCTTTAACTTCTTTCTTTCCTTAATTAGGTGAAACTCTTGTGTCACCAGCCTATTCCGACACTGAGAAGTTGGCATCTTTTAGGAAATTTGCCGTATTGTGGCATGTTGGACGAGAAGTTACCGGTAGAATGGGCAACTCTTTGCAATTATCAGATATTTTTTACAAGTAAGTTTCTTGTACAATAAAGAGCCTCCCTAAAAATGGCCCCTTTTCGGGAACCCGAGGATTTCATTCGTATATGGCTTAAATGAAACCTTATGATGAGACAAGCCTCCAGTAAAAATTTTAGCTTGAGTATATGTCTTGTTTCCGAGATACAGCGTTGCAAAGTTGGCATATTTGAGCTTTAAAATTCTCATATTTTTATGGATTTTCTTCCAAAAACCAACTTCAAAAATAACTTTACAATACTCACACGAGGCGCACACGATAATTTATAATATAAAAAGTCTCCAGTAAGAGTTTTGACTCGTGCGTAAGCCTTGTCTTGGCAAAACAACGTTGCTAAGTTTACATTTTTCAGCTTTAAAAAGCTCATTTTTTAAAGTTTCTCATTCACAAACCGCTATTACTGAAGATCGAACTGTATTTTGGGGCATAAAATCAACAATTAGTGATACTTGTAGATGCATAGTATAATTTATAAAAGGATACAATAATACAGTGTTGCAAAGTTTTCAACTTGTATCTGGGGAAATGTCTATTTTGTGTTATTTTATTGAAGACAAGATTGAAAAATCGTTGATAAGTGATATTGTGAAGCAAAGAAATGTGGAGGAATTTTGTCAATCCTAGGTGAAAATTGGAATTAAAATGGCACTGTTGCCAATTTTATTTAAGTTTCTCTTAACATTACCATTATAAAATAAGTTTAAAATAAGGATACTTCCAATAATTATCTGATTTTAAAACGTAATCCAAGTGAATTTATGGCATACAATGAATGGCTCAGCATCAGTGTTGCTTTCAAAATCTAAAAAATTCTACCTTGCCTTGGATGTCAATTTTACCTTTTTTTTAGGCAGAATGAAAAAACAAACATAAACTATGGAAACGCTCGAGTTTTTTAAGTACAAATAAATCTTGATACAGACAATACATTCATTGTTCCTTAAAGGATAGAATATCTTCGACTTAAGAATTACAAATGATGAGAAAATTAAATAAAAAAAATAAATTAAATAGATAATTTTATATTCTATATTATTTATCTTTTTTTATTTTTTATTTATTTATTTTTTTTTTTATTTTTTTTTATTCATTGTTCCGTAAAGGATAGAATATCTTCGACTTAAGAATTACAAATGATGAGAAAATTAAATAAAAAAAATAAATTAAATAGATAATTTTATAAAAAAAAGAAATTAAAAGAATAAAATATTTAAAATTATTAAAATATTGTTGCATGGATTTGTCAAAAATTATTATTTCGGCATGACTACAAACTATTTTTTCATTAATAAGTTGTTAAAGTTCCATTTTTGTTGAGGGTTGTCCCCATAGTATTAAGACCTCTGTGTCACAGTGACAGCATTCCGAAGAGAATAGGACCAGGCTATTGTCATATTTCATACTTGTATTTCAAAATGAATTTAAGCATTCACATTATGATCTCGGCACTGGATGTAAATTCTTGGTAGAATTCGCTGACCCCTCCATTCTGATAAAAAATACATCCATCTCCCAGTGAAATATATCTGGAAAAAAGTATATTCTCAATACGCAACGGTGCAGTGTCTTGGCAGTGCCAATCATGTCAAGCTCGTATATGTATAGAGCATGTTGAAAACATATCTTTGATCCAGATGCCCCAAAATAATTGATATACTTGGTAAAAGTAAAAAATCGGCAACATGTTGAGGTACTTGCTATATATTTGAAGGCAAGACTATACTCACGTATCAATTGAAGAAAATATTTTCACGGATATTAATAAATAAATATAAAAAAATTACAAAAGACTAAACAAATTAAAAAAAAAAATAAAAAAAATAAATTAGAAGCATCTTTATTTTAAAATCATTTTATTATTTTTTGTTTGAAAAGAATTATGAATAAACTTGGCAGCAGTATTTTTTCCAAAATCAATCGTTACCTGGGACTGACATCAGCCCTCGATATTTTGCCTTGATACGAGTTAAGATACCCATTGAAGTCGTGTTCAACAAGAAAAAATCATAATCCATGCAGAGTTCAAAGTTTTAAGCATTGGCAACGCTGTATCACCACCGATTAAAGTATTCTTCTTCAAATACAAACATTAATCTACAGATGACATAAATGGTTGATTTCCTGCCGTAAATCGTGATTAAATTCTACGAAAGTAGCTTCTTAAACACAGAACTCAAAAATTTAGACATTTTTAAAGCTCAAATATATAAACTTTGCAACCCTATATCGTTAAAACTATACTTGCATTTTGAGTTAAATTTTAACAAAAGCCTTAATCTATCATGAAATTGCATCTAAACCCCTAAAACATATCTTTTAGCGGTCACTAAGTTCGTTTTTAAGTTAAGAAACTTGATAAAATGAACATTTTTAATAGGTTTTTTATGTCAACTTTGCAACGTTGTTTTAACAGAATTAGTAGTATTAATTTTTCAATAGAAATATGCATTCGATAATAATACTAACATTTGATAAAATTTTACAAAATATCATAAAACATCCAATTGAATTGTTCTCAGAAAATAAGATACCTGAGAATATGAGAATTTTAAAGCTCAAATATGCCAACTTTGCAACGCTGTATCTCGGAAACTAGACGTATACTCAAGCTAAAATTTTTACTGGAGGCTTACCTCATCATAAGGTTTCATTTAAGCCACAAACGAACGAAATCCCCGGGTTCCCGAAAAGGGGCCAAAAAAGGCCCTTTTTTAGGGAGGCTCTTTAAGTTACATTATGTATGAAACCCTTGGCGGATCCAGCAAATTTGCAACATTGTTTTTATCCATTTAAACCTATGGAAATATATCGATTCTTGGAGGGGCCAGGTGTTCCGACAAGAATTGATTAATTAACATAGGTTTGAATGGAGGGAGTCCGGTGTTGCCGAATTGCTGGATCCGCCTCTGAATGGAACAAAATAGTATTAGTCAGAAAAAACAATGTCTCCAGGAGAAGTGCAACCAGATTTACATGACATAGAAGAATAAAGGGTCAAGTTATTTATTGATTCTAGCCCTCTTTTTCCAAATTAATAAATTTCGAGAGATATTGAAAATAACATACAGAATGAAAAACGGATGCAACTCATATTCCAACTGATTTTCTATTCCATTAGGAACATAATTTTTTTTTTTCAATGGGAATTTTGATTTTTTCTGTCCTATTTTTCAGATCAATGCTGAAGATGTTAGACAATTTACAACTATCTGAGTGTCGACCTTTAAAAATTGAAGCTCAACTATGGCTTCTACATTCCTTGTTGCGAGATGACATCCACCGAATGATTGACCCTCTTCTTTTTATACTCCTTGACCCTTTGACTGCACGTTTGGGTGTGCTTCAAGCAAAAGTGCAACAAGCAGATACTAATGACAATACAATAAAACCGTCATCAAATGCCGAAGATCCCAGCAAGAATACAAAGATCTATGCCATCAGCTCTGTTGACGGAAATATCATGTACCATGTCTCAGAGAAATACCATAACAAGAAATTATTTAAAGACCCGTCTGTCATCCATACGAATAAGGGCAAAAAAATATTTGCAGTTACATCTTTAACAAATAGAGATGTGTGCTCCGATAAAATGATGAACCAGTTTGTTGATGATAAAGCAATGGAAGCGATGAACAAAGACACAACTGATTATTATCGGTCTGGCTCAAAAAATGTTTCATTGCTAAAAAATATCTCTGTATTTGTGAATCCATTTGCATCCGATCAGACTACGTCTTCTATGAATAATGACTTTGATGACTACTTTATTCAAGAAAGTAAATCAGAAGAAGACTTTGTTCCTAAACTGACAACACTCAGCCCTGAACCAGCGCTCAAAAAACGAACCAAATCACCGCTTAGTTTTAAATTTGATAATCGAAAGAGGAAAGAGAAATCAGCTACTGTTGTTCGGAACAACTCCTACTCTTCATTAGAAAACTTACGTAATTCTCTAGTCGTCAATCCGTCTTCCATGATGATGAATTCCATTGACCTGCTCAACTTTTCCAAAATTTCCGACACCATTTTCGTCAAAGTTAGTGATGGTAAAAGTTTTTTCAGCCGGAAAAGCAACAACACACCAACTCGAAATTCTCTAACTGATGACAACCTCATTAATCTCAGCACATTGCAGAATAATGATAATGGTGAGTTGGTGCGTAGCTGGTCATTTTCAAACACCACCCCTGCCTACAAGCGTTCGAGTTCGCAGCCAGACTTGGAAGAATCAACGCCTGCAGATGAGTATTTTGAGCCTGTTGGTGCAGGAGAAGAACTCAGATCTACCGATGATATCGTTCGTTCTGTGTTGTTAGAAGTCATAGACCAAGTTGCCAAAGATTTGGGAGAAGAAAGTGAACTGGATGGTATTTCTCAAGAGGTGAGAATCGTGTCTCTTCCTTGCTTCTATATTTTTTTCAATTTGATCAACTGTGCAGACATTTAGCATGAAGGCTCCATCCTTCAAGATGCCAGTTAAATTGTATATTTTTTCCTTTTTCTTTTTTTTTTTTTTTTTCTTTCTTTCTTTCATTCTAAAATTTTCAGGAACTCAAAGGGAAATTAGTGAGAAGTTGAAGCAATTTTACCCTGCCGGACCCACCAAGTCTCTTTTATCAAGTAATTCCCCAATCAGAAGTTATATCATGGCATGTGATGTTCAGATTCATTTGTATTTAATTAAATATTTTCAGTTTTTATTATTCTGACAAATCATCACTCAAATCTTTACATCTCTTTTTAATAACAAACCATTAGTAATTTTTGGCTTGTCCTTTTGTTTTCAGATAAGTGACAGTAAATCAACACTAGATACAATCAGTGTAAAGAGCTCGAGTCTTGTTATTACTCCACTCAGTGAAGTGGATAATCCCTTGGAAAAACCTGCCAAGAAACCTGCTCGAAGTAGTAACTCTCAAAAGTTCCATTCTTCAACATCATCAAAAAGTGCTGACAGTGATATCGATGGAATCCACTCGCATCTCCTCCTTTATACCAACATCTATGACTCCACACGCACACTGTATGCAATTCAGACCATCAAGAATATCTTGCTCACCAATGCTCGTGCTTTCTTATATGCTGCTGCAACAACTAGCCTCAATGCTAGATCTCCGTTACTGAAGCTCCTGGCTAGGCATCGCAAGTCAATATTTGGCCATGGGTTTTTTAGTGAGACAGATTCTTCCGGTATGACATATAGCCGCAGCTCCATGTACTTAGAAGTCCTGATTCTTATTTCATTGTATTACACAAGGAGTTACTACCTCAACAATGGACAGTCAAAGCTGACCCTGGAGGAAATTCTAGGAAACAGACAAGTATGTTGTTCGAACTTGCTCCTCTCTGTTTTTTAAAATTTGTTCTTCTTTATTTTTATCTTAATATTTCAATAATTGTAAAGCGTATATTAATTAATATCCGTCCCATGCAAAACATGCTCAAAATCTGTTTTTCAGGACCAAGCACTTCTCTTTTTTTCAAAGACCAGTAGAAGCATGTAGTGTAATCTACCGAAGATTGGTAAACCCTCCAAAATTCTCAGTTAAGGTGAATTCTTGTAATTTTTTTCCTTTTCTTTTCCTGTATCAAAGATGTTTCAATTCATGACTAGTTTTGAGTTTTGACGGTTTTTTTTTTTTTTTTTTTTTTTTTTTTTTTTTACAAAAAATAGTTTGTATTTGTCATTTATGAGAGTACTTATACCAAGAATATACTCCGGTGCAAGCACTCGAAATTAAAGGAAATTCTTAGGCAGTAAAGAATCTGATTCTACATATCATGTCATTGAAATCGGTTTGTTCATATGTTTGCCGCTACTTTTAGCTACCTTGAACTGGAAATTCAACAGTACCTACAAAATATAGTTTGTATTTGTCATTTATGAGAGTACTTATACCAAGAATATACTCTAGTGCAAGCACTCCAAAGTAAAGGAAATTCTTAGGCAGTAAAGGAGGAAATTCTTTTTTCAGTTAGGAAATTCTCTATCAATCTACCTTTCTCTTCATGTAAAATTAAAAAAACATCATGGAAGTATATAATTTCAGTATGTATCTACAGATTTTAAAAGAGTTTGGATTAATTTTAAGATAAGATTTTATGCTTGCATTGATGCACCAAGTTGGTTTTTTTCTTGTTATCAACTTGTTGCTTATCGCGCTTGTTGTTTCTTCTAAGATGTGGTCATTAAAGCGAGATGCAAGCATTAACTACTCACGTAAAATCTGGGATTGTTAGAGCTCCATTTATGTGTATGGCTTATGACTGTTATGGTTCCAGCAGGAAAATACACCACTATACTTGAATTTGTCGGGGGAATCCTGTGGCCCTGGTGGATCTATGTACCCGAAATCTTGTCCTAATTAACGGGGGAGATCAAATCGTTGTCCGAAGTTTTGATCATTTTTTTTCTTTCCTGCAAGGTACAAATCTCAAGCGTGGAATTACTCTCCCTCATCTGTGCTGAATTGTGTGGAGTTGTGAGGGACAATGGTCGTGGATTTGCTTCATATCTAGGAGATCTACTTACGCGTGTGAAAGCTCAAAATGTTGTGCTCCACTGCATCCTAGCCAGCGTTCATCCAGTCACTTCACCTCGCAGCTTTACGCAAGACATTGTTGCTTTCAATGATCAGCTGCCTTCATCCCCCGATAGGCATTCCATCTACAATGAGTCCTTTCAAATACAGTTGTTGAGGTGAGTGCCAAAATACCAACATTTTTTTAGTTGCTCTCAAAGTGGCACAAAGTGGCTCAAGTGGCTTTTTTTTTTTTTTTTTTTTTTTTTTTTTTTTTTTTTTTTAAGTGCAATACATGACACAGGTAATAACAAAACCATGATCTGCTCGACTGTAGACCTTTCAGTTATTTGCTCTTTTTGTGGTGTCAATGCACCATGATTCGTGCAGCCTTGAAAAGTGCTTGATTTTTACATTTATTTTTCAAGGCCGTGAAAGTACTTGATTCCTTGGATTGTGCTTGAAAAGTGCCTGAATTTTACTCTTCACTCTTAGTTAGCGGTAAATGCTTGTTGTCAAGAATTAATGAAGCATTTAACATTAAGCAGATTTCTCAGGAATTTGGCGCCATTTTCTGGGTAAATTACAACATTATGGTGAACTTCTTTTTTCAGACTTTCAGTCCTCCCAACGAAAGAGCTTACCATGCCAGTAAGCTTTGAAAATTGTAAAGGAAAGAAAAGAAAAAAGAATGAAGGACGTAATTATCATAATCGCAAATCATAATAAGAGACAAAAACTGTGCCCTTAGGAAAAAATTATGAGCATGGTCTTTAAAAGCACTCGAAATTCTTAAAGAAGTGGACAAGTGCTTAATTTTTTATGCTTGCTGCTGTACAGTCCATGTGCGTAGCACTTAATAGTCAGATTTCTTTTTAGCATTGAATTCTAGTCAGTGCAGCAGGAAACTGCAGCCAATGACAAAAGATTATTCCTAATTTTAAAATGAATTATTGAAACTGTCTGTTTATTGAAGAAAAAATTGTTTTTGAAAAAGATTAAAATTTTGAGCCAAGAAAACAAATGGTTGGAAGATCGATATTGATGTGTAAGCAGTGTGTTTTGTGATCACATTGTCAGGCTGAAGCAAGTTCCAGCGCTGCACCACCTAAGCTGCAAAATTTAGAAACTTCATGTTGCCAACATGAACAGTTTAATATCATAGCAGACCACCAACTTTGGATCTCTGCAAAATTTCTCAATTTTTCTAATTCTATTTTTCATTTAATTTTATGAATTTAAAGGAAAAAGGCTTTTATTACATATGTACGATCACATTTCTTAATTTTTTTTTTTTTTACCTCTCTTGAATTAAAAGTCTCTCTCCCTCTCTACTTAGCTGTCATCTGTTTTTGTTCAACAGGTTTCTGATATCTCTTCTAATGTTGGAATATGAAATCAACCATAAGAAAGGTGAAACAGAAACTGCGGATGAAAAGTCAAATAATACCACTCCAAATGAAATCCGTTATATTTCTGGGAAACCTATTCCCCAGCAACCAATGTTCATTTCAGCGATCATGAAAGCATTAGAACCTAACGGTCTCTTGCGTCATATGCATCAGCACTGGACATCACTGGTTACATGTTCGTTGCCGTATTTGGGCAAGTCACTGACAAGGATCATCACTAGTGTCATAAAACAGCTCTGCGGTAATATTGAGTTGTTGAGTCAAACGTACCAAAACATGGAGTCGGAAGAGAGTGAAACCAAGTCAAGCTACGCAAGGTTGGTGACTAAGCCGTTTTTTACTACATTTTTCATCCGTTTAGTTCCATAAGATTTTCTTTCTTTTCTTTAAATCGCTTTTAGAAGTAATTTATCCATTAGAGTCTGAGTAGTTCAAGCAGTTCAGACATTTTTTAATTTTAAGTCAATTTTTCATGGTTGTCCTAGAGTGGATCAACAAGCAACTTTTTTTTTTTTTAATTGAAAGTCAATTGGTAAATTTTGATAACATTTTAAAGCGGACACCAAAGTCCTTTGTAATGTTTCTACCTTATCACTCAGAGTGTGAAAAAATGCATAGAGAATGTCATGTGAGCCTAATTTCTGTAAATTTATATGTTTTCCTCTCTCTTTGCCATCCTTTCATCTATCATCTATTATTCCGTAATTTAATAGGTATGTAAAAAAATTAAATATTCTGAACAAGTGACTCTCAAGTAATAAAATTATGCTTACCAGTTTTAAATGAAACAAACTTTTGAACTGTTCCCGCAACTGTTCAAAACTCAAAAGTGAAGAACTGTTTATTTCTGAGCTACAGACATTTTTACAAAAAAAAACTTTCATCGATTGTGTAATAAATGTGCTGAAACTGTTCGATGAACTGGCGCTCTCTCGATGCTGAAAGTCAATCAGCCCTCAAAGTTATGTCTCAAAGAATCAGAATTTTAACTATTTATGCTTTGAGAAATAATTTCTTTAACCAAACATTACCATAGAAAACAGCTGTAAAACTTGTCGTTTCTAAATGAGATCTCGATTTTTCAAGAGAAAATTTTTGTATGCGAATATTAAAATTTAATGTAAAACATTTTTGATCCAGCAAGAAAAGTGCAGCCAATGTACAGCGTAATGAATAATGATGGAGTAAAATTTTCCTGAACAAATGCAAATATCGCTAAGTATTTCCCTGAATTTGTTGACAGTATCACACATTCTCATGACTTTTAACAGTTTTCCCTCGTTTTAAGTAATTGATGCCTCCCTTTTTTAGTTGCCCGGTGGATTATGCAATAACACAACTCGAAGCTCTAACCGTACTTTGTCATTATTGCTTGTTGGACTCCGCTCAGTCAGTCAATCAACCACAGCCAGCGCAACTTTATTCTAATTTAGCCTTTGTCTGTATTCCTGCACCTTTCAGTCAGGTAGTCTAATCAATTTACTATTTTATCAAGCGATTTACAACTACATATTTATATTTCTCAGTGGGATGCCTTCTTTATAAAAACATTACCAGAATCATCCAAATATTTTTTTCAAGTTTTGAGTAAACTAGAAAAGTTCTATAAATGAATGTTTTCTTGCCAATTTATACTTTGCTATACTTTGCAAAAATACTGGTCTCAATAATAACATTCAATATAAAATGGGTACAACATACTTAGAAACTTCTGTTAGCAGTCTTTTGTAGACATATTTTTAAATCAAAGCCAAAATTAGCCTTTACACAGATAGTGCCTTATTTAGTGAAATTGAACTTTAAACTTAAAGTCAGATGAGATTTCGCTTTAATTTAGGATGTTTAAAATAACTTACATTGGGATTAATTAGGCAAAATATTCATCTAGATGGTACGACTCGTTTCTTGCTGAATATGGAAGTGGAGCTCAGTAATTTAGCAAATGTGTTTCAATATCTTAATATTTTTCTACTTCTGAAGAAAATTACCTGAAAGTTAAGCATCATAACACTCCTTGTACTTTTTTGAAGAAGACAAAAAATTCCTCCTCTCCATCTACAGTTTCACTTTATCAAAGAAATTTGAAACTGAGTTTCTCTTTTCATTGCAAAGATGGTACTTGAATAAATTTTGCTTGTCAAAATCATTTTGATCTGGTGCATTCAACATTGATGAAAAATTAAGTAGTGAAAATAAAGGGTAAAATTTCATGCAACAGAACGAAAACCCTAATTCATTTGTACTTTCTCGCAGGAGCAGCTGAAGGAAAATGCAGAATCCATATCAAGTGCTCGCAAAGCTGTTCTTGGAGTTCTTTCTCAAATTGTAGGAAGTTTATCTGTTCTTTGGCAAGTTCTTACAAATATCAATCAAAGGTAAATTCCTAATATACAAGCTTTTACTCTGCTGCGTCAGGGGGGATCAAATAAGCAATTGCTACCGAGAGCTGTAGAAAGCCATGCAAGGTTGAGCCAAGACTTAGCATTATTGAGGAAACTTAAATTTTTTGGAAATGATGAATTGTAAGGGTATAAACTGGGCTCAGCTTCAATGGATTCAGCTTTTGCTAAGTCATGACTTCCATCCTTTTTAATGAAGTATTAGGACCTGTACGAGTAAGGACTGAATATCTAACCTCTTTCCTTTTGAACCATACCTCTCTCGTTAATATTGAAAATTAAAGTTGAAAATAATTGAAGATACACATCATCCGTGTCAAATTCAGGATGAATTGGTCTCTAGACGAGGTATGAATTAAAGCACTCTGTGATATTCTCTTTCGAATTCTATAAAGACAACGAATTACACTGTAGGAAGTTAGGAAATTAACTCCTAAACAAGATTTCTATGTTTATAATTAACATCAGTTAAATGGCAAAAATACAAAAAAAAGTCATTTCTATAGTCAAGCTTCCATTTAATTTGTGTTGAAAATACTTGTTTATATCTTGCTCAGGAATTGATCTCTAAACTTCCCTGTGTGTGAATCGTTTTCTACGGAAGGTTTTGAAGAGAAATCGTGTGACGTTTTTTTCTAGTTCTGACCTTGTCCCGTCATTCGTTGTCTCGGGTCCAGCTTTATACCGCAAAGACTAGTTCCATCTGCTTGTTTCTCTAATTTCGTTTTTTAAATCCGTAAAAGCTAGTTATTCTGCTTAACTACATTCATATCAAGCTGCATTATAAATTTCCAGGTTAATTCCGCTGAACAGCGTAGCAGGAAGCCCTCGAATTGTGCGCAGTCAACTTCTAGAGTTGCTTAGTCCAATAGCATTACATCATGCCTCCAGTTTTCTTGGTGCTGTGGCCACAGTTTGGTATGACAGACGACCTCTCTCCTCTTCCAGCCAAGTTTTATCGTCGGCCAATGAAGATCAGCAAGTTCTTGTTGAGTTGGTGTCAGCAATCAAAACTATGCCCATCGACACTTTAGTTGTAACCCTTCACAGTCTTGTGAAGCAAGGAGCACCATATCAGGTGAGGTCAATTTGCCAAAATATAAAGCTTTGTGTAAACATTTTTAGTTGAGATGAAAAATACGTAGTGCTTAGCATGCATGAAAGAAGTTGTAGAATAATCTTTTATACTGTCTACATTTTTGATGATAACCTTTATACTAGATGAGCTTCAAGCCTAGTTATGCCTCAGTTTAGTTTCACAGAATCATACGGCCCAAGTTGAAAAATGTATATCTCAGTTTTTGACGTCGCAAGTTTCTGCTCAAGTTTTAATTGCTTAAAAAGAAAACTAACCAAAAGTTTCTTTTGACATTTTTTGTGAATTTTTTTCACTCATTCAAAAAAAGAATCTCACAAAATTTCAAGGAAACATGATGATCAGTTTTCCTTTTATGGATGATAAACCATAATTGGAGTTTTTTAACATTTCCAATAAGACACAAATTTCTTGCATTTAGCCATAATATTCTGATGGTGGTATTCCCGAGATTAACAAAAAATTATAAAAACAGCCCACATGTCAAGTTCTCATGTTAAATTGTCAAGAAAAAACATGTAACGGATTGCTTTACTTTATACCATGCCTAGTGCTTCAGTCTGTGATATGTTGAACTAACCCATTTTCAGAAGAAGATTCTGATCAAAACTGAGCAGAAAGAAATCGGAGGCTCATAGGTTCCAAAGTGATGTGCCATTTAAAGAGGCGGACAAGCTTCAGAATAAAATTGGTGAAAATTTGTTGGCAATAATTTAGCATTAATCAATTCAAAACCTGATATGTGCCAAGACCCATCTGCATCCACAAAAATTGCTCTATAAACTTCTTGAATCATCTGGTCGAGGCACCTTCAGTTTTGTACAGCACATGGAAGGAAGTTTTTAGGGGAGAACATCTGATTCTTTTAAGGAAAATGCCCTTTTCGAAATCTTAAAATATTTAAGGTCATATTTCATATACATATATTAAAATCATGTGGCTTTAGATGTCTCTAAAAATTATCACAGGGGCAACAAGTAGAGAACCTCTGAGAGAAAATGTGAACTGGAAGTTAAAATTCTGACTTTATAATAAATGAAATCCTTAAAAAATATTAGCAGTAAGCATGTTATATGTATTGCAAAACATAGTTTTCAAAATGTATTTAACAATACTTTTTTGACTACGGAATGCACTAGAGTATGACTATCACTAATCCATCTTCCTTCTTTCCTCTTTTCTTTCATCGGCTAGAATGCATGATTTTTCAGTAATTTAAGGTGATTTTTAGAAAGTGTATCAAATCACAACAAAGAGTTGGAGAGTTGCCAGCTTCCAGAAGATCTTGACCGTGACAGATTCCAGATTCCCGTGGCGGATAGGTGTCGCAGAGCGTCCTAAATCGTTGTAAAAGCAACTAGTCTATACGCACATCAAAGCTCAAAGCCTCACCGCTCTGATTACTATGTCCAAAATATGCAGTAAAAATTATCGGACAAAATGAGAAACCTTTTACAGTGCTATGCTGTGCTGCAATTTTTTTAAAGAACCTAGGTTTTTGGCTTGAATATAATGAAATTTAGCAGCCCCAAATTTTAAATTGTTGAACTCAAAATATATTTTTACCCAGATTTAGCATTCCATACAAATCAGTTATTTCTTTTTACTCTCATTTTGACGCTTTATGACTATATTCAGATCAAAAAGGAGCTACATTAGGGCTAGTCTAAGGATCCTCAAACATTGTGAGCCTTAGTTTCAGGTAGGGCTGTGCGAGCCTGGTTTTTTGGATTCGAGCCGAGTTCGAGTATTTTTTCACTAAGTCGAGCCGAGTTCGAGCTTTTTCGAGCTTTGAAAATGACCCTCGAGCCGAGTCGAGCTCGAGTCGAGTTCGAGTAATTTCGAGTTTTAAAACGTGATTTAATCTATTTTCTACAACAAATAATTTCAAACAAGACTCATAATATGATATTAATAATTATTGACAATGACACACTAGGAAGGATTTACACTAAAATTACAAAATGTTCGGCAGTAACGCGTTAAAATAACTTCCCGCGGTTTAATTTGAAAAGAGGACAAAACTGGGCAAGAAGCGGCGTGGCGCGGCGTACATCAAAGGAACTTCGGGCGGCACAAGTAAAGGCTTTAGAGCCCATTTATGCACGCAATTCGTGTCGCCGGCGGCAGTTGTCGCCGCGACGTTTTTTGGAATCGCGCGATTCCTATTTTTGTAGCCGCAGCACCTTTTTTCTGCCGCCGCGACACCGTTTTTCTGGAGCACAAAAGGTCCAAAACACGTGCTCACTTTCAGTTTTCCAAGCGGCGGTCGCCGCCGCAGGTTGAAATTTGTCGCGCGCATAAATGCGCTCATATGACTCCGTGTAGTTACAAACCGCGCGCGCGGCAGGAAGTCGCCGGGCGGTAGCGTGTTGGCGCTGCGGATGGTAGAAATTTGCCGACGAGACTCTGATGTTATTCAATCTTAAAATGATGGCAAAACTAAAAAAAATAGTTAAAGTATGATTGAAATGTTGGGAAGTTGGACTCTTTCGGCGTTTCCGGCTCAAAAAAACTCGAAATACTCGAAAAAACTCGTGTTGTTGACACTCGAGCCGAGTTCGAGTACTCGCTCGAACCTAACCTAACTTTCGAGCCGAGTCGAGTACTCGATACTCGGCTCGACTCGACTCGAAATTCGAGTACTCGCACAGCCCTAGTTTCAGGCTTAATTCTTTTCTAATACTTTATTATTTGAGATTCATTCAGATAATTGGACATCCTTGATCCCTGACAACCCCATCTTGAAGTTGTACTATTTCATCTGTTGAAGTTCATTTATGAGCTATTCATCAGTATATTGTAGATCTTGTAGTCGTCTAGTTTATTATCTAGCTATCAGTATTCATAATTGTCCTCTTTCTTTTTTATTCTATTACTCTTTTTGCTATTCTTGTAGTCTCGTAGATTCTTGTTCTGTCTGTTTTTTGCCCTTGTTGATTCTCTTTCCTTTCCTTGAGTTTACGTTTTGTTTTTAAAAATGTATCAATTGATTGCTTGCTAATTTTCAATAATTTTTCTGTCCCTAAATTTCATGTGTTCATTGGCATTGCGGAAAAATATTATCAGAGAAATGGAGAGGTAGCGACTGATAATGCCGCAGTACAGCAGGTAAACAAAGAAAGTCAAACAATATTTACATTGGTTTTTTCTAATGTGCTAAAATGGAAACAGGGATTTTTATATTTATTTATTTATTTTTATGAAAAAAAGTGTTTTATCTCAGTTCTCAAGTTTGAAGAACCATATTGACCTATTGGTCAGCACGTCTGACTCTAGGCCAGTAGGTCCTGGGTTCAAATCCTGGTAATGGTGACAAATTTTCTTGAAACTAACGAGCAGTTATATACAGCAACAGATTCCCCGCAGCCTTAATTCCTGAAAATTTGAGTAGCCTAGGGAATGAATGTACCTGTCCTCTATTGTCCAAAGACTAAAGGTAGCTGTAGGCTCCTAAAGCAATGTTAACCATCAAACCAGCTGGGAGGGAAGAAAAATCAAAGAAGGTGTGAGCGTTTTAAAGTTGGGGAAATTCTTCCAATCTGTTGAATTTTACTTCTTTCTTCCTTCCAAAGAGCTCTAGGTGACTTGAAACTCGGAATTCATTTCACACTCCTTCAATAACATGTTTTAATTTTGTGCTCCTCCCAAAATTTCTATGTTTTAAACATTATTTTCCCGCTTGCATTTGATAGTAAAAAATTTCTTTTTTAAATGCAATGAAACTGTTGCCAACTTCAGCCAGTGCAAAAAAAAATGCTTGTTTGTGTTTCCAATGAAAAATGAAATGACTCTTAATGAACATATTGGCAAAATTTAAAATTCACTCTTTACCTTCTAATCTATGCAAGAGATCTGCGTATTTTTGAGCTTTCTGTTCAAAAAAGTATACTACAGCAAAGATGAAGTTTGATACTAATGAGCAATTTGTAAAACATGAAATGACCACCGTCATGTGTTACAATTTTTCAATTAAACAGAAACAACCTAAAAAACACCATTTATCTAACATATCCTTTTTTGTGTTCAATGTTTTGTAAGTAGAAGTACCTCGGTTGTTCGTTTTTATTTGATGAAGTGTGTCTTATCATGGAGGCTATTTCAAAAGTTTTACAGGAAGTTCTGAGATGGGGGTGACTCATAAAATTTTGTCTCTGCCATGATAGTTTTTTTGAAGCAGGAAGTTCAAAAACGCTGAAATTTCTAACTCAAATTGTAAAGTGTCGAGTTACTTTCAGACTTTTGCAATGCTCTTATTGTGATTCTGGAGCCATTTCCGAAAAGATCTCTTCTTTTTGTTCCAGCGTAAGTTAGCAGCAGTTCAGCTCATGATTTAATTTTGATCACAAGTTTAGGAAAAAATATTTTTCCTAATCCACTTTAAACTATTTAATTATACCATGTCAGGAATGACTATCTGATAATTTTGAAAAGTCCAGTCTTTAAAAGTTTTCTTCTGTATACATGTTTGTTTTTCTGCATTTTCTCCCTCTATTTTGTGTCTGTGTCTTCAAAATTATCACTGAGTTTTTCTTTTTTTCTTTTGGATCATACTTCTGCATACCTTTTTTTAGTCTAATATAATTTGCCTTTTTCATTCCTTTGCTCGGAACCCAATTCGCTAGTTGACACGGAATACTCTCTCTAAACGATTTGCTGCTTATGTCTCAGCATGGCATGCAGTTGGTGGCTTATGGCAAATGTCACCATTTTCTATGCTCAGGCGCTTTTTCAGATAAAGCTATTCTTGAATAGATGCAGCCAATATTTTTATCACCTTGAGAAACTTATAAGGAGGCGTTAAAATATTAATTTTTATTTTATATTTTGGTCCCTATATTGTTTTTACAATCATTTAATTTTTCTGTGGTCCATTTTCTTATTTAAAAATTACGCGGCTCTCTTTCACGTGAAACAAAGTTTCTTAAAAAGTCATACCCTTGCAGTCTTTCAATCAACAGAACTGTCTTCCAAGATTAGTATACCAACAACTCATAGTATTGTTTTCACTTTTTATATCTGCCCTGCTCAAAACAAATAACTTGCATGCAGTTGGGAGCTGACACTTCCTTCTTTTTTTCTTTTTCGCATCTTTCTAATAGTATCAGTATTTTTGCATGTATTCAACTTTGTCAAGGAGCAGAGCTGTATAATAGATGCCAACTTATCTAAGTTGGTCTCTTTATTATTCAGCAGAAGAATTATTTCAATTTTCCTCATAAGTACCTGCATGAGTGCTCATCCTATTCTATGAAATTTCCTAGAATGCTTGAATGTTTTGCCTATATTTATTCTTCATTCATTATTTGCATTGCATTTGAAATCCCTCTGCCAATGCGCGGTAGGATCTCAAAACTCTTCCCTAGGAATGGCTGACCTGTGTGGATTGTTCTTGTCTGCATCTGATTTTTAGACCTTGTGAAAGTTTAAACCATTATTTCAATGTTAGCCTTATAGATCAAGATCTTTTTATGAAATGAAAATTCTCAAGAAACATCTTGAAAGGACAAATAATTCAATGCTGATTTGTCTGACCATGAGAGAAAAGTAGAAAAATTGAGTCTAGTATCAACCAGCGGTGTTTCATTTCCTGTGAAAATAATAATGTATAGGATTCACTTCCACTTTTTATTTTATTAAAATCGAAAGTGCAAGTGAGTCATCTATATATTATTATTTTTACATATTAAACTTATGCTGACTTCATAAGTGTTTTCTACATTTTCATTTCCTAGCCACTTATTTTGGGTATGAATTTCAGGAACAAAATCCTCACATAGAGGTCAGTGCCTTGGAGTTATTTTTGCATTACGTGCGCACAACTCCTGGACCACACTTGGCGGAGTGCTGGTCTTCCCTCTTTCCTCTCTTGCGTGACGCTCCGAATCTCCAACCGCCCTCCCAGTTCCTCCTGTTCACCGTGCTCTCTGAATTTGTTCATCGCACCAGCTCACCTCTACCTGATAAGAAAGATCAGAAAGATTTACAGGATATTACCGCTAAGGTAAGCCTGCATTTTTATTTTCTCATTGTGTCTCCGCTTTTTTAATCAGAATTAGAAAGAATTTCTTTCATCCAATATTTTTACTCTCGAATGATCTTGAACTATCTTGCAGGTCCAATTGATTACACAATTTTGAAAACCCTCACCTACAAAATATTATTTTAAGGAAATTTCCCATTAAACCATATCAATGGTGGAACGTCCAAACCACCTATCTCAGTTTGCGACGTTGCAGACTTCCTGTCACACTCTATTTTTTAAATGGAGAACTACTCATTGTCAAATTTTTAAAACCTCCTTAATTTTTCTGCTCTTTGTGAAGAAAATTCCAGGAAAACTTCAAGGAATAATGTTGATTTGTTCTTCTTCAAAAAAAAAAAAAAAGGGAGCGGAGATTTTGAAACACGTCAAACGAGATATATGGTTTGGAAATTTCTTCGTCAATATGTATCTGTGTCAGTGGTGGAATTACCAAGTCAGCACTGCATTTCTCGTTTTCCTCGCCTGAGATCTCTCATTAACAGGTGGGAAGCATCCTTGCAGTGCCCACTACATGGAAAAGAAACAAATACATTAAAAAAGCACAGATTTTGAAAGGTTGGTGCCAAGATCTAGTCAATTATCTTTGTAATTAGGTAAAAATTTAGGGACTTTTCTAGATGAACCTTGGAAAGCCCTTGGCAAATGCCATTTCTCAACATATTTAACTCTATCACACTCCTGTAGCTCAGCCCCTTGCTCTTTTGCTCATTCCTTCTTCATACCTCAGTGGCGTGCGGTGGGTTTAGTGACAGGGCAAGCTCTAGCGTTCGCCATCCGGCCTCCCTAGAAAATTGTTAAAATTTTACGGTATTTGCTCTGTTATTCGGATGAAATCTGATGGAACGTCTTGAAAAACTGTGGTTTTATTACTTTCTCTCTTACTTATGATTTCGTTTACTCAACTTGTTTCGAATGTTATTGAGCATTAGAGGACGGCTCCATGCTCTTAACTCCTAATTTTGCCACTTATTTGAGATACTGTAGTCTTTATTCTGCATTATTTAGAATTTTTTGAGTTTAAAATTAGAAGTTAGAAAAATAAGTTAGAAAATTAGAATTTTCTGCATTTTAAACATGTTTGAGAATTTTCTAATTCATCACTTATTAGATCAAGTGAGCGAAATTTTATAGAATTTAAGGGCATTTGCTCCGAAGGAGCAGCTACAACCGCGACGGAAAGAGGGAGCAAGATAGCGCATCGGAGGCAGAAGCAGCGCGCTGCGGTGCGGTGACGGGCCAAGACATGGCCAAGAGAAGCGAGCTGCGATCGCGCAGCGAAGGGCTCGGACTCGGAACGTACCGCCCTACCCGCCCGCCTTGATTCCGCCGCCGAGCAGTGGCTCTCCGCTCAGCTGATCGCAAGCGATTCTCCAGCGCATGAGTCGGCCCGTGTTCAGGCCGCGCAGCGCGCTGCGCCACCTCCATCCGCTCTCTCTACGTATTTCTGTCTCTCTCTCTCTCTGTTTTCAATGCAATTTACATACTGAACACCTTTTATAAATTATATTTGCTAAAATGTAAAAAATGCATGTAACAGGTGTAATTTTCTTCTTTCTTTTGAAATCTTTGGGCAAGCAGTGCTTGCCTTGCTTATCCGGACCGCACGCCACTGTCATACCTTTACCATTTCTGGAATCCGAATTTCCCAGAACCGCTCTTTATAGGTATTTCAAAGTGCAAAGTTTCATGTTTGGTGAAAGTAAGGTAAAATTTGCATACGGCAAAAAAACGGCAAGGATAAGATATTGAAAAAAAGAGAATTATTTTGACCCCCCAGAAAATGGATTTTTGTGGAAGTAAAGAAAAGGTAATGAAAATGCTAGGAATTTAAATAATGAGGTACTGAAGACACCCATAGTTCTTTCAAATTCAAGACCTCAATACCTACAAGCCCCCCCGTCTCTCCTTAGTTTTTTAAAATCAGCATAAATTGAGTTTAATTTTTGAGTTGACTCCAACTCCAGATCTCTGGTTTTCAGCGCAACTCTACAAGACTTCGCACTTAATCAGATTGCATGGCAAGCCCCACTTGACTATTCCACATTGAAAGGGCTCAATTGTATGCTTTCTCTGAAAGTCTAAAATAAATTCAGTAAAACGTAATAATTTTTTTCATTCAAACCCTTTTCATTTTTCCTAAAAAAAATCAATATAAGAAACTAAATCACCCATAACACGGCAGGCTGGTAGAAAAAGTTTAATACGTCTTCAAAGCAATAATTCAACATGTCTCTGTATGGTGTTTCCAGCTAATAGAATCTTGTTCTCAAATCGGAGGCGCCTGTTTAGAGCAAACCACTTGGTTGAGACGAAATTTAGCTGTGCGAGAAGAGGAACCAAGCTTGACCTCTAATAATGAAAAGGACTCGGATCGAAGTAAGTATTTCGTACGGAATATTTATGTGCTTATTTCATGCAAATTCAAAGAATACTTTCTTAAATGTGCTCAAAATTCACCAAAGCACTCCACTATCTACGATTAGACCTCTTCCCATTTGCGGAAGGATGTCGTAATCTCATTATCGCTATCGCATATATTCCCATGGGATACTTAGGAATATTTATCATCGCACAGAAACATTTGAACTTACAACCATTTGTCCGAATAAGTTCAAAAATATAAGTTCTAAGATTCGAGTATCGGGAAAAATATTTTTAAAAGAATCATTGATTTTGCTTCTTTAAATTTCATGCTCCATTAATCATATTAATCCTTGAACCTGCCCTAAAAATTCAATTTTTTTCATAGCATGTATAATATATTTCTTCTCACCGTGGCAAAAAATCAGTATCTAAAATCAATTCATTTCAAATTTTAGTTCCATTTGATTAGCCGTAAGCTGTGCTAAAAAGGAGAGCAATAACTGTTTTGCCACTGTACCCTCGGTACGATTATCAGTGCCGATTATTTCACTTTTCCTTGCCGTGGTTAATCATAATGCAATTAGGTAATAACGTTTTGATTGAAGCAAAAAGATGAAGTAAAAAGCATGATCATTGTATTTTAGGGGCCTTTGCAGTTACGGTCCACCTTAATCATGGCTAGACAACACTGAAATGTGCTATTTATCTGGCTCTGATCTATTTTAATTTTCTCAATAATGTATGTCCCTCAAAAGCAGGTGGAATGGCTCAACACAGTGTAACAGCGCTGAGTGTCTTGGCACAGTTGCTTGCACCAATGTTAGATGTCACCTATGGTAGTCAAGAAAAGGAACGTGTAGTAACTTTGCTCACAACTTTAATGTACAACGTAACACCATACTTGAAAAATCACTCGTAAGTACATTTTATATTGAAAAGATGATGTGTTTGTTTGCCCCAAAAAAATATTCAAAGGGAATTTTAAGAAAATCTTTTTCGAGAAATCTCAGTAATAATTAACCAATTTGATAACCTTACATAATAGCACCATGAAAGCAGGAATCTACCCTTTACATTTAAAAGTGTGTAGCATTGCAGAACCTTTAAATTTCTGTGACAGTCATATTCATGTTTGGATTGACATAGAAATAATAGGTAAAATTAAATTTGTATGCATTTTATTCTTTTTAAGAAGGTGGTCTCCTACATATTAAATATTTTCAGATTTTTAAGTGATACTGCTTCCCAAAATCCTTCGTTTAACTTGACTCACAGTTCGCAAAAGCCGATCAGTTCAAATTAGAAAAATAAAAAAAAAAAAAAGTTAAAAAAGAACACCTATGAATATTTGCAGTATGCACCAANACCCCCCCCCCCCCCAATAAAAAAAAGATGTTAAGCACCAGTGGATATCTGGCTTTAGTTGGATTAATTTTAACTATGAAAATTAGTCTGCATTTATTTTAAAACATTTTTTTTAACTCGCTTGACACAAAATGTTCGCAGAATTTTTCAAGGCGTTCTGTTGTTAAGTTTTCTGTAAAATAAATGATCAAATCATGAAAGGAAATCAATCAATATGAAATTCAGTCCGGCAGATATTGATAAGTCTGTCCAATTTTAATGCAAATGTCCCATTTTTCAGGCAGCGAAATGCTAGTAGCTTTTACGCCTGCTCTCAGTTGCTAGCAAGCTTGAGTGGGTTCCAGTACACACGGAAAGCATGGAAGAAAGATGCACTCGATCTCCTATTGGACCCTGCTCTATTTCAGATGGAAGCCAGGTCTCTACCGTTTTGGAAAACCATCACTGATAACCTTATGTCTCAAGACACAACCACCTTCAGGGATCTCTTGTGTAAGTTAAAAATTTAAGTCGTATTCATGCTGCAAAAAGTAGTCGAATGAGGCATTTTGTCAAATCTTTCTGCTCTTTAACTTATGTTTGCAATCTACCAAAGATCTAATTTCTAACTTGAATTTTTTTTGCCTCTGTTACAGCTCGAGTATCTTTTTCTCAGGGCAATTCCCTCAGCATTTTTTCAAGTCGTGAACAGGAATATGAGCAAAGGGCTCAACTGTTGAAACGGCTATCTTTTGCGATTCTCTGCAGCGAACGAGATCAATTTTGCAAGCTAATGCCAGAAATTCAAGGTACTTTAGTTTTCTTTTACAGATTTCCATTGATTTCTAGTATATATTCCTGTGTGCATTTATTCATTGGTGTAACATGCACCCGTGCAGATCCTGCCATGCAGCGGGCTCCTAGGTTGTGAGGAATTTCTTTTTTCTCTATTTTGATTCTGGGTTTTGGCTTTAAGCATTTGTCCTTTTCCTAGGGTTGTTAGCCAAACTCTGCTATGCCACTGATTGTATCAGGTAGTTTCATAAAAGTTGGTCAAAAGCTGTGCAATCCTCAGTAAATACAATGAGTAGTCATCTAGATTTATTAATCCTGTGCCTCTATTATGGCTTTGCCTACCTTCAATTTATAGGAAGAGTTGTCAATTTAACTGACCATTTAAGAAAACAAAAAATTAAAAATAAATAAATAAAATTGAAAGCTCTAAATCAAAGCTAAAATTAGCAGGAAATAAAATTCATTTTCTCATCTTAATCATTTGTTTTCAATTTTTTATCCTAATTTTATTCATTCATTACTTTTTCCCTCAAATCATGGTTGTACATTTGGTGCTAGTTTTTGGTTTCATGAATTAACATCAATTTTTATCAATTCTTTCTCCAGAACGACTGTCCGAAAGTCTGCGGCTACCGACAGTCGTACCTAATGTACAAGCTCAAGTGTTCCTTTGTTTCCGTGTCCTGCTGATGCGTATGTCTGCCCACCGAATAACGTCTTTGTGGCCTTTCATTGTCAGTGAAATGGTTCAAGTGTTTCTTCATCTAGAACATGAGCTCTCTAGTGAAACTGAAGAGTGCAGGTATGTTTTTTTCTGTCTCAAGTTTTTTGTGTGCAAGATTTTCATTTTGCCCTGCATTTGTGTGATTTTTGTGTTTCTAATCCTCACAGTGGAAGGAGTCCAAGGGTTGTAACCAGTAAAACTTAAGCGTGTGGATCATGGATATTGGACTACTCAAAATATTTTTTTCCCAAGTTTGTTTTTCTTTCAAACTAAAACTATTGAAAATAAACAGCATGCGCATTCAAGCTTAGTAATTGTTTCAGAAGCAGGGTGAATAGTAAATCTAGTTTATTTTGAAAAATTTAGTCACAGGTTCACGTTTTGATTTTATGCAATAGTCTTCTCTGTTAAACTGTCAATCATGAAGAGAAAGGAGAAAGTTTTTCCCACCAATTTGTGACGAAATAAATCTCAAATTTTATAAAAGATAAATGAATAAATGACAGAATAAAAGGAATCAAAATCTCCTTTGACTTCACGCAGTTAAATGAGCACTGGATCAAACATTTAGTCAAGCTTTGATAGTTTTAGAAGAAAATTCTGTCTACTTCTCTTTCATCATCATCCTCAATAAAATCCATCAGTATGCTTGTAGAGAAAATCAGAAGGAATAAAAGATTTTGAAGCTTTTCAATTCCCTTGTCTAGTCAGTAGTATTGCAGCCGATTTGTCATCAGACATTTTCTCTCAGACAAAATTTTTGAAAACTTCGAATATGCTGTGCTGACCAGTTGTGAGCTGCCAGGCTAAGCGTGAAGGATGATTTTGCATGGTTTTTATCTCTTCTCCTTCACTGTAATACTGTACTGAAGATTAATTCCTGTCAGGAATTATCAACTCAAAGAATCGTCCTACAACTGACAATGATCGGTCAGAACAGGGAATTAGCAGCAGGGAACTATCTGGTTGAGAATCGGCTGTTTTGAATAGTCTTGGACAAAATATAGTCATTATGCTATGATAAGAATTTTTTTACCTGCAAAAACTAATACATATTTATTTATTTAATTTGGTCAGTGAGAATGGAGGAAAGAGAGAAATATCAGAAAATTATGCGTATTACTGAGATCAAAATCGTTCATGCACACATTTATTATCAGTCCTTTTTTTAATTGAGTGTTATTTTCCATTTCTGTAATCCTGTTATATTCTTCCAAAAATGTTTATTTTGGGCACAAACCAAATTTTAACCTATGTATGTAAGAGCAGTTTTCACGGTGCACTCTGAAGCTCTGGTATGCCTAACATCCACAGCCTCTAGTCCCCCCAAAGTCCTTCAGCTCCCTGGAGATTTTAACGACAAAATCCTAAAAATGCAACTGAATGTGACCAATTTGAAACCCCCTTACAAACCTCTCGTCTTTTTTGTCCTTTTTTCCACCATGAATTCTCACCAGATTTTCATTCCATCCTCCTGGTATCTAACGAACGTTCATTAATAGTCATTTTGCGTTAAAGTAATTATTTATATCTTTAATCATCACCTTTCAAAATATTAGAGTATACAACGGTCTGAGCCAATGATTAAGATGGGGAAGCTAATAATCAAAACGTTATGAAAGATGGCATTGTTTGAAAAATAAAATATCCACATCAATGATTTATGCAAAGAATGGCATACATGCCATCTATGTTCGCTCAATCAGTGACGAGTAAATTTGGTTAGTTAGAAGACATCGGAGGAAAATCGGATACAAATCCAAAGAAATGTTTGGAACTTTTCAGACTTTATGTGTGAAAAATATTCAAGTAATGTAATGTCTAGGCAATAAAAATTGAAAGTATATTAAGATCTTTGACATGAAAATTTTCGTGAAAAATGAGGAAATTATTGGGATCTGTGGAAATCAATAAAACTTGCCACCCTGTCAATTGTGGCATTTTTTTTTTTTTTTTTTTTTTTTTTTTTTTTTTTTTTTTTTTTTTTTGGGGGTAGGCTATACCGTTATTAAATGGTTTTAGGTACACATATATATGAATCTTTTGTATCAATGATAATTTACGTAAAAAATGGTTTTCCCATTTCGTTTTGCTCTTTACTCACATAATTTGTTTTGTGTGTGTGTGCCTCGGTCTGTGTGTGTCTGTGCCATTCTCATCTGCAGACCTAACTCGAGGTACGTCTTTAACTCAAGCATGTTATACCATTCCACGTTGTACATTCACCTGAGTTTGGCACGCCTCTCTTTTATCAGTAACGCTTTTCTGTGTGCTCACTGCAGCTTGTAGATGTTTATTGCGTTTTTGGCTCCTAGTTACATTTTTCATCTCAGTATGTGTCATAATGTGCATGTACCTTATAAGGCCAGCGTTCTAGTTGGAGCAAATCTTGTCCCATAGTTTATTAATTTCTTTGAAACAAAAGTTCCCAGTAGTAGTTTTAACAGTAGACTTTTACGCTTTTTGTTCTAAGTTTTTCTACGTTCATGCAGAGAGTCTACAGGGCTTAAAATGTTCTAAAAAATAACTATCATGCATAAAAGTTTTATCTTTACATCTCAGGTGAGACAGGATACGCTACAAGATTACATTTGTAACACTAGAAAATGTTCGCTCCTGTCGCTCAATGTTTTTCCCCAGCTTGATCGATAACGGGACAGTCAGAATAGAGATCTCAGATAAATGTAATTTTAAAAGGGAAAACTAAGAATAGATTAGTCAAGTATAAATTAATTTACTAGACTTACTAGACTTTTCAGCATATTGTCAATCTAATGAGTTAGAAAATATTTTCCTTTTTCTGAAGTCAAAGACACCCGAACTCTCTGTGCAATTTTAATATTCAATGAAATAGCCAAATAAATAAATAAATAAATGAAAGCCATGGAGGCAAAACTTATCTATTTAATGTAAAGAACCCTTAAAATCCAAAATATGCTCTATTTACTCCCGATGGCTCCAAATCCTGTCTTGATGGATCACTTGACAGATTAAAGAAGAAAAAAAGCATGATACTTCATCCAAATTACATGCAAAGCTACTAGAAATGGAACTTTTTCAATGTACGAAGAATTCTAGGGTTTATATTTACAAAAAAACAATATTTATACTTCCCTCTTCACAAAAAAATCAAAATCAATGTGGGGACAGTGAAATTACTAAGCCACGTATTTCGATTGTAGTGTTCCAAAATTTCCTCCTCTACTCCATTTTTCTAGTGAAGAACGAATCAATATTGTACCTTTAACTATTCTTTACACAAAGAAGAAAAGTAACAGAAGTTTTAGGGGATATTGTTGAATATTTCTCCCATGAAAAGAATTTCGTAATGCCGTAAACCAGAAAATGTTGATTGAGAATTTTACCGTTGATTAGACTGTATTGGCAAAATGAATTTCGAATGTATATTTTGTAACTTACCTTGATCTAACAAAATTTCATGGATTTATTTTGGATAAATTATGCACAGCACCAGGAGGCCCTCTAATTGTAATACACTCAGAAATTAGTTTCGTATGCTATTGAACTCGGTAGGCTTTGGTTTTTTTAGCCTAAATAGAGCACCAATCTTCAGTCTAAAACAACTTCTAATTTTTTATTCAACAACTAGACAAAAAAAAAATTGCTATGTTGTCAGCTTGTTTTGCGCTCACTAGAAAAGTGTGTTGCTGTGTTGTAACCCTGTGCCATGGTCCATCGGCTGTTACCCATAGCATCAAGAAGACAAGAGAGTGCTGATGCAGGGGTATTTATTTCAAAAATGTTTTCACATGAAGCTGGAAAGCTTTTGGACTTCCCATGAACGATTATCAACTGATTTCTTAACATAGAAAGACAAAAACTTCTACTGTCTATGTTTAAGAATACCCCCTCCCATGAATAAACTGACTGCTCCTGCTCCTACGCTTTTCTCCCACTCAAAGTGTAAAAGTTTCCATCTAATTAGTCGATTCCTTCACAATTTATAGAAATTTTCCCAGTCTTATCAATCTAGTTAATGATTTCCCACTGGAAATTTGATCCTAATTATAAAAATGACCTGCATCTGCTATTTCCAAAGGTCATTTTGGATATTTTTTACACTGAAAAATATATTAAAAACTTCCCCATAAAAGCAACATAATTTAAAAAAAAAGAAACAACTCTCAGTGTTCCTGAGTCAAGAATAGATTTCCTTGCATTTAAGTCTTAAGAATCGTTAATTTTTGAAGGATGTAATTTTTATGGATAATAGTGGGGTTACCCGATTTTCTTATGCAATGTCAAAAATAATAGATGAACATCATCACTTTCAACATAGTCTAAGAGAAAATTGAATAGTGTTGACACTAACCAGGTAGATTTGGGTAATTTCAAGAAAATTATCGTTAATGTATACCTTGTACTCTAATATTTATTCTCAAATATTCCTCAACCCACAGCATAAAACCGGCAATGCATAAACAGAATGCTACTGAATCAAACAACTAGGTATCTAAAACTGGTGAGAATAAAAAAATGCCATCTCAATTAGGAAGTGAAATTTTATACTACCATTCACAATTGCCCTGGCAGTGTCAAATATCCTAATCTTGACATCGCATGCAGTTTACTGAATGGTTTCATTTCTCAGACATTATCTTCATTTTTTGGTGCTCTTTAATAAGTGCAAACTTTATCCAGAAAATGTTGATATTACCTGACTCCCGATGCTACCCATAACCTATGCACTCTATGCACCTATGAAGTTTACAAGATAAACCTAGTAAATGCGATAAGCATCTTATCATTTAAAAAATTTTAAAATTAAACCCTAAAATTCTGTCTCTGTGTGTAAACTTTATGCTATGATTTCATGGTTTTATTCATAATTTTGAAGCCCTTGGTTTATTCTTATTTATTTATTTATTTATTTATTATTTTTTTCCCTCTGTTTTCATTCTCAGACATTTTTTGCTTTCTCAATCCTCAACAGCATGTTTTTATGTGTGATTAATTTTTCTCAATCGAGTATCCACAATTTCTCAGGTATATGAGATAATGATTTTTATCTCAATTTTAAGATGTGTTCAGATTTAATTAATGACTCATTGCCTGAGACTTGTGTGCACCCTCAACAAATAACTGCATCTACTGATTAAACGTTTATTTTAGTTGCTGTTAGTATAGATTTCATGTTAGATTCGTAATCATTGATTGTGGTGTGTTTTTCTTACCCTCCTCTCATTGGATGCTCAGTTTTACTCCTGTCAACATTGAAACAAAACTGAACTCGACCTCTACTCAAATCCGGGGCGTTAACTTGCGGAAACGCTGGCATCGTAAGAACAAAATTTTAAATGGATCCAGTAGCCCTCAGTCGAAGGAACTCATTCAAGAGTCCAAGCCATCTCCGTAAGTAGCTTGGACTACAAACGTCAATTTTTGTGGGAATCAAAGAAAGTCTAGACGGACCATTATCAGTATCATCATACATTCATCACTTTTTACAGTTACCAAAATCTGAATGGATGTAAATTGTTTTCATATAGACCAGCATATTAACAAAATTATACCACTATGTTGGTGGCATCTAAATGCATAGAATTTCTTCTCTTTCATTTTAAGCCGAGGTGCAACAAAATTTGAGCTGTCCTCTGTAAAACTCTCTGCCCTGCACAAAGAGGTTGGTCAAAGTAATTGTTTTTTAAATCTGCATCTTGGTGGAATAAATCGATTTGGAAATAAACGATAATGGAATAATCTATATACTTACTCAAAAAGGTAAATATCGTGGGTCTACTGAAATTTTACAACTTTTTCTTAGTATTGCACCAGAACAAACAGAAATGCACAGACAGAAACAAATTTGTCCACAATTTTTTTTAGTCCAATTTAATGAATGAAAAAGATTGAAACTCAAAAACACCAAAAAATTTGCAGTGGCTCTTCATGATCCTGAAGATACTATAATTTAGAATCTCATTGATCATTGTAACCGTGCATCTCGGATAAAATGAAAGACTTATAATGTTTTCAACAGCTTACATTTCTCGACAAATTCCCTTAATCTCTTCTCAAGCGTAGTTAATCCAATTAGTTCACCTTTTCATCCAAAATTAGTTAATTTCTTTTCCTTTCCTACCCCCCTCTCATGGATCAATGGTTGGAGACTTTACTTTTAAGCAAGTGACATTCCTTTTTTTAGTCTTCATCCATTCAGGTTTATTTTTCTTTCCTCTCAAAGCTTTCCACTCAGTCATTCTCTTATTTTTAAAAAATCAATCCTGTCTCTAAAGGCCTCATTGCATAGTTTAGTTTCTTTAAATAGGCATAATTACACTAAGTGGAACTGTGTGTAAATGAATCTAACAAAAAAGAACGGCGTGTGCAAGATTTACATGCTGCGAAGGTTTTTTCATTCAATTCATTTACACGTAGTTCCTTTTAGCATAAATGTAACAAAATGTCAATGAAACAAAAGTCACTTTACTAGCCAATAATCTTGAAAATTAATGAAAACACTGACAGGGTGTGTCGCAACCAGGAAAGTCAGGAAGATGCAATTGGTCAGAGATAGAAAATCCGTAACTGGGAGAGTAGCTAACTCCTCTGCAAGACAAAGATTTTTTGCATAATTTCACAGTACATCAAAACTGAGCCCTGCAGTGCTCTCGTCCGGTTCACACAATTTTCAAAGGCAAAAAGCACAGTATTGAAAGAAGATGAGCAGAAAAATCACAAATATTTTTGAGATTGCCAATAATTTGGAATGTTTGTCGAATTTGGAAAAGGAGTATGCAATTTCTCATCCAAAATCTCATTTTCATTTAATTTCATTAACTCAAGATTAATCAATTTTTCCCCCTCTTTTCTTTTCTAAATTCCATAAAAAAAATTCCATCTTTCAGTCCTTATTACTCTCTAAAAACGTTTTTCGTCATTCTTCCCAGTATAATTATTTTTAATTTTTCTTTCCCACTCCACACTGATCTTGCGGTGACGGTTCTAGTGAAACATAGCTGGATCGTAATGAACACAAGGTTTTGGAAAGAATAATCTCCATATGATATGTACATGGTTATGTAAACCTACTGAACTCTTAGCATGCCGAGTGGTTTTAGTGTAATTTACCGCATTGCGAATGATCGTGCTTTTTACATCAAGTGCTAACCTTCTTCCTATTCTTTTTCTTCATACTCCCAGCATGAGGTGCCTGAATTTTATGAGATGGATAGAACAACTATTTCTTTCTAATTTTCCCAATTCCTTTATTCCTTTTCTTTAATTATGTTTCATTTTTTTATTGACTTTTTATTTTAGGTTTTATCAGGTTTTTCACTTAAAATTAAATATTTATATTATCTACAGGTAACTAAAGTCAGTAGTTAAATGAAGCAAACCAAGCGATCTTGCATCATGGAATTGCTTTCATGTAAATTAAGACTGAAATCATTAAATAAGATAAAGTTTCCTAGTCAGTAACTACAGTCTTCACTACTCAAAGTGGCAGCTGGGGGTCAGAGCCAAGTGAGCGGCTTGGTTTATTGTTTATCCTGCTAACTTTAGTTACATGTTTACTCACAATGTCCGTTGCCCATTAATTTTATGTGAAAATCCTGTTAAAGTGTTGACTTTAGCATTCTCTGTGAAAAGAAATTTCTGTTTTGTGTGACTTAATTAGTTTGAAAACTTGATAGAGTGCTCGCTTTGTAGATTTTAATTCAGTAATTCCAAGCATCTGCTTTACAGACGTAGTTTGAAAGTATATAATTAGTTTTTTTTTTGCATTGAATGATTATTCTTATTCTTATTTTAGTTTCATACTTACGATAATTATGAGAAAATGGATCCAACTTGTTCCATTTACTTTGTTTATGCGGTGTTATTAGCAGCTTAAAACATAAAATCTAATCTATTTGAGTCAAAAAGTACTTCAGAAATCCCAAGTTCATATGCTCATTACATGGGTGCAATGGGTAAAGGTGCAATAAATTTGAAACTAAAATTGGGTTTTAGCGAGCCGATGGGATCCAATTAATGTTTCCTCTGGCTTATCCGATTTTTGATAACTTGATAAACTCACAGGTTGCCCAGAATTGAATTATCTTCTGTAGTTTACTTTCAACATCTGTTTAATTCATTTGTGCTTACGTGTGTTCCTTATTTTGAGAAACTGTGCTAAACCATTATGTGTTGTAGGAACACCCATGTCCTATCACTAGTACCAGTAAAAATTCTGGTTAAAAAAACTGCATCGCTATCGATAATCTGCATTACCTGCAAATCAATCTATTAGAAATATTCAGCTCCCAAATGGTTTATTGGCCGTCCGCTTGCCTTTTTTTCAATCTTGGTTTACATGAAGTTCATTAGTTGACGTACTTGGCTTGATCCCTAGAATCTCATCTCCTACCAATTCTCTCTCATTTTTAAAGTGCTCTAATCATTCGTAATACTGCATATAAATTAAAGACTTATCAGCACAAACCGTCTTTAATGTGTCAAAAGTTTGGGTTAAAGTTTCTATAAATTTGTTACACTGTTGCCCCTAGAAACTCACGTGTTTCTCATGATTGTGCAGCACACTTCAGCGCTTCTGAATCACACAAGTGTCAAAAAGGAGTGTAATTCAATTCTGTATTTGAATCGTCAATCGGATCATCCATTCAGCCTGCCATGCCCAAAGTTCGGTTCCTAATGGATCGTACCTTGCATTTCTCAACTGAAAAATAACTTTCTCTAAATATAATTACAGCTGTGAAAACAATTCTCTATCAGTTATAGGAACCTTGTTTTATAGATTCTTATGAAATACTCACAATCAGCCCTATTAACCCAAAGGGTGCCAAATTTAAACCTAGAATAATTTTTTTTTGAGGGTTCTCAAGATTTTGGCGGAAGAAATTTTTTTTTCATAAAATCTCTCAAGTGTGCCTCAGGAAGAAGATTTTCTAATCACGATTTAACTTACGATTACTGCTGAACCAGGAGTTAGTACACCGGTTCCTCCTGGTAAGCATCTTATAATTTTGGTTGAAACTAGAGCGATTTTTAAAAAGTACACTTCAGGTAACATTTTAGAAGCAGAAATTTCAGCTTGCCATGAAGAATCAAAAGAAAAATAAGTGAGAGGTCTCATCTTGAAACTGTAGAATTGTTATTATTTTTTTCTCACCCTTCATTTTTTGTTTGAGAATTGGAGTCACTGAAGGAAATTCTAACTTTCTCAACCTTTTTAGAACCGTTTATCACTTTAAATTCTCCTCTTTCAGCTCCCAGATCAGATTGTTGCTAGACTGGCCATGGACTGGTAATAGTAATGGATTGCAGAGCTCTCTAATGCAGCCTCAGTGGTTACAACTTGCCCTGGCCGTCGCCAAGCTGTTGGACCTTGCTCTGCGACTCCCGGCAGATCACTTGCCCCAGTTTCAAATGTAAGTCCTCCCAGTAACCTTGAAATCAATTTCCGGGTATTTTTCAGTTTTATAGTATTTATTATGTCTCAATTATACAATCAAATGGGTCAGCACTCAGCAGCACTCCTTTTTTTGAAATCATTTTCTGAAAATATAAAGTGAACTAAGCCTAATGGCAAAGAAACCCTGTTTTGAAAACACCAAAAAAGAGACCCGTCTGAAACTTTTGGCTGGCTCTTTTGGATGCCAGACCCCACCTGAAAAGAAATTTGTATGTATTTCCTATTTCTAAAATAATAAGTCAAAAAAACTTCACGTCAAAGTCAAACCACCAAGCTGTGAACTCACCATTTCACTTGACTTATTAAGTTACAATATTTCAAGCTTAAATAATTTTCGCTTCACCTTAGGGTTTTGGGAAGAGGTCTTTTGGAAGGAGACAGATGGAATATCCCTCAATTGAACGTTCACTTTGGAAGGTATTAATCTCCAGCACTCCTTTTGTGTGACTGAGGAAAGATGCTTTTTTTCTTTTGTGAAGAAAGTTTTTACAGTGACTGTTATCTCTCCATTCACTTTTTTCCCGTTTTCTAGGTATCGATGGGCTTTTGTCGGCAGCTCTGAGCCACCATCGGAGTCCTCAGTGTCATCTAATAAGAGGCCATTCTCCAATCAATTGAATAGCGATTTCATTCCTCATGTGAACAGGATAGCCGCATTGATGGATGCAAAGGTATGTGCCAAAATAAATGAGAACATTTTCTTCTTCTTTTGATTTACAGGGTGTATAGTAACTGGGAAAACTGAGAAAGTCGGGGAGATGAAATTGGTAATGGAGAGGTCAGGGAGAGAAAACGCATAACCGAAAGAGTCGCAAAATTCTGTGCAAGATTGTGAGCTTTTACATAACTTCACAGTGCTTCCTTACTGATTGTGAGCTGCGCTGCACTCTTAATCCACGCTCAGTGAATTTTTTCCCTCGGAAATTTGATCCTCCTACCGATCCATACTCATACATTATGCTCAGCCATGTTTATTTTTAGGTTTCTCTTGATTTTGAAAAGTAGTCAAGGAGGTTCAGGGTAAATCAAGGAGATGAAAAATCAGGGGGAGGGGGGCTCACAAAAAACCTGGAAAATGAAGAAGGAGGAATGTAGAATTTTGCTAGGCACCGTGAATTTTCTCATCATTACTTTTATGTAATTATCTGATCTGATTTTTCCTGATTATTCATAATCGAATTCTTGTATATCCTCACTATTTCTCAAAGAGTCAGGCAGTTGCGTGCATCACAAAATCAAGTCTCAGTGTTTAAATTTTGTAGATCTTCAAATTGTAATTCGATCCTGCCAAGAACTAATTTTCCACTTAAAATTTCAAAAGAGACACTGCCGTCTCACAAACATAAAGGACACCATTTCTACCGCTATGATAGCATTTCTCCACGAATTGGTGATCTGCTGTGAAGCCACAGATCTCTCTGTATGTGTAAAGCCCTCATAGCAAATTTTTCCATGGTGAAAGAAACCTGGCTATGGATAAATGAGGTAAATAATGTGATCAGTAATATTTCTCCAAAAGCAGTTTTTCTGTTGAAACTGGACACTTAAACTTAATGTTTTGCCTATTTATTTATTTTCTTACACGCTGTAAAATTTGACTGCATACATGAAGATAAAATTCAAATCAGATCTGGAGGTTCCAGGACAGAAGCTACAGCCTATTCTAAAATTTCTTGAAGTAAAATCTCGTAATTTAATGCCCGAAATAAGGGATGGAATTGTAAAATACTCAGTTATTCATCATATTATTTTTAATGTGATTTTCAGTTTGATACATCAATCCCACCTGACTCAGCAGCTATTGATTTGCTGCCAAATGGCTCGAACATTCAGCGAGTTCAAGATTTACATCCGTTCTTCTCTGTTCTTAGTCGTGGCGTTCCAGCGAGCATGCAAAACGAACCTCTAGAAAAGCTAGAGCATGATCTAGAGCTGGACTTCCTTGAACCAATGCCACCCAGACAAAGTGTAGTCATTAGTAGTCAAAGTATTTCGTAAACGGACTCCCTTCCTTTGTTTCTCTGTGATTTTAATTTAATTAATCAATTCAGTTTGCCCTGTAATTTAATATTTCTAATTTATTTTTCACGTAAAGAGCTTGGTAGGTTTTTTAAAGGTGAAAATTCGGTTTGTTTCAAAACCATTATCATTGTTGTAAATTTTTATTCTATTATTATAATTGTTGAAAATTTATTTTTTTCGTTTTTTCTCAGAACTATATATACATTACAATGAGTATCTAGCATCTATTTTTTACTCTACGGAAGTTGTTTTCTTCACGAACTTTTGTTGCCAGAATCTATTTTTCAGATTGAATCAGTGTATAGATTTTAGTCATGTTGTTGTGATAATGTGCATAATAATTTTAAGTAATAAATTTATTGAAAATAAATCACAATTTAAATACGTTAAACAGTTTTGTATTCCTTTTTTTCAATTTCATGTGACTAATGTTCTTTATTTTTTGCACTTTTTAACTAAATAGAACACAAAATGGCGGTCCCATACCATGGGAAGTAACTTCATTTTGATACTGTAAAATTTCCTCTCACAGGTTAAATTTTTACTTGGCATTTGTAGAGTATTTCTGGCTGAAACTTTCAGAGATTTTTTTCTAATTATGCAGTAAAATCAGCAACATTTTGAACAGAAGTCCCACAGTCTCATATGTAATGTACCAGTAAAAACCTGAATTGGTTGAGTCAATTTTTCAACGTAGGAACAAAGTTACACTTCTCCCTTTAGGAAACAATGATTAGTGTATAGAATTGCTAGCTGTATAACTCAAAATAGATTCTCACAACTTAAATGTTAAAACCATATCATACGTAAAATCAATAAACTTTCAATGTAGATTGAGGTTCTAGGTACAAGAAATTAGGACTTTTAGCAAGAGTTCTTAATTGTGGTGGAAACATTGCCTAACTTTGCAGACTTATGAACAAGAAAATCGAGTGAAGGGAGAAAATTTCTGGCAGTCCTGGCTTGTTTGTGAAATCTTTGAATTGTCTCTCCCTTTTGTTGGGTTAAATTTTATACCAGCAGCCTGATTGTTGAAATTTATTTCGGCGCGACATGAATCGAAAATAGATGTTTTACACAGCGCAGATAGGGCCACATCTTGTCTTATTTTGCCATCAAAGCCAGTTAAAGTTTAAGCAATCAAGCTGCAAGGTTTTAATTATAGATCAGATTTCGATAAATAAGAAACGTTTTTCAAGACTTCATAGGTTCAAGTACCAAAAAAAAAAAAAACAACAGACAACACGAACAAGAAGTGCTCCCACAGAGTTGATAAAATGAATCGATGAAATTACTTCTCCCTTGGTGTGATTGCTCTCACATTGTCCAGTAAGGTGGCTCTGAACTCTGAGTAAATGATTTTTGGTTAGAACGATCCTATTGTCATTTGGATCCGCTTTTTGAAAAGAATTGGCGTAATAAATCGCTACCTGTGCTGGTTTCAAAGGTTGTTATAACAGAGGGAATAAAAATAAGAAGACTGAGTGTATCAAAAACTCACCTTAATTTTACTAAATCTTGGAAACAATTACAAACTAAAATAAAGACGATAATTTAATTACAGTTTAATTCAAGCCATTTCTTAAAACTTTACTTTATACAAAATTAGAGGAGAATTGAGAGATAGGATTGTTCTAATTGTGCTACTGAGTGCCAGTTGTGAGAAGGGCAATTAATCCAGCTGCAGAGGAAACAGAGAGAATATAATTTACTGCTGGTGTAAAATTCTTCAACAGATAAAAACTCAAGAAAATGACAACAGCTAGAAATAGAGCATTGTTGTAAAATATTGAAAAGTTGGTTGCTTCGTAATCGGCAACTTCATTTTTCTTCCATGATATCCTGAAATGAAAAAAAAACAGAAAGTCAAAGTTAATGTTCGCGGAACTAGTCTTCATATTAGTGTATGATGCGAAGAAGAAAAATTTAGTTTGGTAAAGTCGAATGACTTCTTGACGGAGGAAGGAGACATGATGGTGGCTGATTAGGAATTTGTATCATCTGATGCAGAGTAACTGAATAACACCAAGGCCTGTGTCCGACGATCAAATGAACTCATCAATTGCAAGATGGCAGAGATGCGTATAGGTTTCCGCGCAATCAAAAGCTGGCAGGCCGTCAAATGTTGATGAATAGAGCCCGTGCGGACTTGCGTGAAAACCAGTATGCATCTCTGCCATCTTGCATTTGATGAGTTCATTTGATCAAGGGACTTGGTCTTAAGGATTGGGCTAACTTAGGGTGTACACAAGAACATTACTGCCTTACCCAGTAAGTCTCATAATGTCTCTTGGTAATTGGTGCTGCGTTAATTGCATGTACATCCTGCAATTATGTCTTATTTTCCAGGATCTAGTAACGTTTTTCTGCAGATCAGCAAATTATTATGTTATGCCCAGTGACGCAACCAAGCAGGGCACAAAATGACCAACGTTTCCTGTTGGTGTAGAATGTGGATCTATTTCCTTTACAGGAATGGCAAATTAAAGTAAGTCTAGAAAAGCCAATTTCCACATCTTTCGAAAGTCTTCCCTTGAACGGAATCATTTAATGGCTTCTTTTCACACACACATTATAATGATTGGAAGCTTAAGAACTTCAGTCTATGCAATGACAATTGGCAAAGTTAAGTAATCAGCTCAGTCTATTTTTCATAGGTTGAAGTGCAAGTATCTTGTCTCATTTTAACGATGTACACTTTACATTGGCAATGAATGAGCCAATAGACAAAGGCGGAAATAGAGGAGAACGTCGCATGTTTTCTCTTCAAAATCTTACGCAGAAAACGATTCACAAAACAGCGATTTTAGAAATCAACTCATAAAAGGAGATATTAACGATAATTATTTTTAACACAGATCAAATTGACTAGGTACATTTTGCGATTCGAGACTAAAATTTCTGACTTATCTTGGAAAACACTTAATTGGATAGGGAATAATATCACGTACATTGTTTCTAAACTGAGCCAGACATTGTAGTTCCTAATTGCAATATGCAGTCTAAATGGAAGTTGAAGGAGACAAAAGACGCCATTTGTGTTTTTGTCGTTTCACCAATATTCAATGTAAACACTCATATCTTATTCAGGAGTTGATTTGTAGACTTTCCATTTTGTGATTTGTTTTCATCATGAAATTTTCAAGAATGGACTTGTTACGTAGTGCTTTAATTCATACTTTGTCTAGAGGCCCATTCTGATATAATGTCCTAAACCACTCTTTTGATTCTACCCTTCATCTGACACTTAATGTGGCATCAAGTAAATTAAAACGATGGTGTCCTCTATTTGATTGTGTTAAACGTTCATCAGGGACAGATTTTGATGGTGATTTGAAATTTTGAATCTTTATTCTTTGAATAGAACTATAAAAATGGTTAAGCGTAAGGTGTGCTGAAAAGACAGAAAAATAGTCACTCAAGTGAAAGAAAAACAAATACCTTTCATCCTTTTCTTTCTTGCTCATTTTTTTATCAGTATTCAATTTGTTGGCTACTTCCTTCGTAACCGCATCTTCTCTAATGACAGCAAACTGAAAAAAAAAAAAAAAAATTAAAAAATGTTGGAAAATTTTTGAGGATAGAACTTGGATGAAGAAAGTAGTTAAGTGCTAATTGGTTTCTAAAAAGCTGAGTATTTTTGAAATATATCATCCCATATTTTACTGAATGACTTTAATGGTATGTAAGCAGATTACCCCATCCAAACAGAAAAACCTTGTTACTTATAGACATAGCAGGGAAAGAAGTTAAGTCATTTGATGCATTTTATCCCATATATTTCTGGTTGTTGAATCCAAAAATGGCTTCAATTTTTCTTCATTACACGCTTCCTTCCCAGAAAATTGAACTTTTCTCAGAGCACCCTGTATTTATTGGAGGATAATTTAGATCTTTCAGAATAGAGGCGGGCAAAAGAGAAAATTTGAGGTCATTCAGATTTAGTCTAACAGTTACACAGCAGCAACCTGCTAATAATCCCCCGGCATTAATGGGAAACAAAAGTTTTTTTTTAACAGACCCTAGTTATAAACATTTATATCAATGTAAAGGGGTATGCTTGTAAAAGAAAAGAAAAGGGGGAAGAAACTATGATATCAAAAACATCAAAGTTTGAACTCACCTTGTGTTTTAAGATAAACTTCATATTCTTGTAAGCAAATGCAATTAAATAAGTACTTAAAGCAGTGACTACAATGAAGGAGATGAAAGAGGAATATAAGTCAATCATATGAATCCTCCAGTACAACCCTGAAAAAAGATATTAATGAGAATAGCATTAGATGGATAAGGATAAAGAAAAAGACACTGTTACAGGCACAATATTTTCTGAAATATGTAAATATGTAGTTATGAGTATAAAAGGAGGAATTACTTAAATACAATCTCCAGAATGTGTCTTAACTTTCCTTCGTTGATGACCACTCCTGCTGTGCAACCCAACAGCAGAGTAAGTTGATTAAATTATGGTTCAATTTTGCACAGAATAATTCATACCTCGACAATAAAAGTATTCATTTTTACTTTCTGTTTGTGTTGACTAATGTATATCGCTAGTCACGGTGGAAGAAGCATATATACTTCAAACATAACGTTTAAAATTCTCCACTATTTTAAATCTTCACTGCGGGCCGATTATTGAAAGTTAAAAGCAGCCCCATAAGACATCAAATTGCAATATATTGCATGGTTGAGATAGGGCTATGTCTTGTCGTGTCAGGCTGACATAGTTTCGATAATCGGGCCACAGGATAATGGATCAAGTGTGTCCTGATGGCTTTTGATCAAAATTTACGAAGAGTGAAGAAAATTTGCAGAGAAGTTGAAGAAAACGGTTGGTTAGTTTTTTCTATGAGAGCAAGACATAGGTCTCACTAGTACTTAGGTCGGATTGAATGACAGACAAAGCTTCATTTTAAGGAAAATTAGCATTTTCGAGGTGTGTTGCACTACATATCCAGCCTCCGATATCCTCCATTCAATATATTAACTGGAAGGAAGTCCTTGAAGTTAAGACAAATTTCAAGGCAAATTCCAGTGTGTCTCATATTTCAAGACTTGTGCATTAACATCTTTTATTGCATCTACCAATTTGTAAATATTGGATGCGCTTTGTCAGTTATAAAACTGACACAATTTGGCTGTGCTGCTAAATTCAATGGAGCCACCTGCTGAAGGAGTGAAGATCTGGTATGCAATTTACAGTTTTAGTGGCCAACAATGTAACTCTTGTAAGCTGCAAGGATTTGAAATTTAGGTATATTTTTTTAATTTAAATTGTGCATAAAATACTTACAATGGTGCTGCTAGTTTTCTCTGAAACAAACTCTAAAGCTTAAAAAATCTCCCCAAGTTAAGGCCGTGATAAAAGAGATACCTTTATGAGAATATCGACCTCTGAGTATATGCAGTTAAACTCTCTATGTACAAATGGGAAGCAAAAACAACGCTTTGCGATGTGTTAGAAGAATTGCCCTTTGAGTGGAGGCTCCAAGGCTGCGGCCACAGCAATCCTGCTAGTGTGTATGCTACCTGTCTGTACATTGAGAGGCAATTCTCTCCATTACAACAACAATGCAAGATTCCTTGCGGAGGATTCCAATGCTCAGGAGTTAGTTTCGGAGAAAACCAGTGGCACCATCGTGTTTTCCGCAAAATTTTACATGAAAATGGGTACTAAAATTGCCAGCCCTTGTGGCATGCAAGAACTCTCATAAAACATAGCGTTGAACCAGAATTTCAAGTGCCAAATATGGAAAAAGGAAGTCTAACACCTTTAGAATGAAATAATGCAATTTTGAGATAACTCAATTCAGCCCTTAAAAAATGTTGCACACCTCAACTATTTCTGTTATTGTCTTTGATCTCCTAGATTTTCTTTTGGTCAAAAGCAGAGGCCGTATTAATCATACATTAAGGGGGACAATCTAGAGTCGGACAATCTGGGACGTCTAGGAGCGCGAACTAAGTAAGAGCGCACCCTCCTTCTGTTAAGCGGAGCATTACAGCGAGTGATATTATGACATACTTACATATTGGGATTGAAGAGACAATGAAGGCATTTCCATAGAATAAAGCTTGAAATTTAGGAGACACATTCCTGCTAAAATCCTGAAGTAGGAGCTCTTCTTCTTGGTCTTTCGTGTACTTGGGTTTTTGTTGTTTCGTCGATGGAGGAGCCATTCCGGACTTTAGATCGCGGCCGTGATAGAGAGCTTGAATTAAACTGTGCAACTGAACTTGAAGAAATGAAATCACTGGGTATACTTTAAAATTACAGCCACAGCGGCTCCACGGGGGCAGAATTGAAGATTTGAATGAGAGGTTACAAATCGTGAAAGTTGGAAACGTCACCGTTTGTTTTGCCAACGGAGTGCTACGTGTACAGTGGTGCCAAATAGCTTCCTCTTGAAACTTAAATAAATTTTGAAATGTTGGCAATCTGACAACTCCTTTGCTTCTTCTTCTTCTTCGCCGAATGATAACATGTAACAATGAAAACATTGAAAACAACTACAACACAAGTGCGCAATTTTTCCATCCACGAACCTGTGAATTCTGTGATTCAAGTGACGAAAATTCTACGTTGTCATATTCTGTCAACTTTTTAGCTTTATCTCGCAAGTTGCAGAGTCGCTTAGCACAAGTATATATCAAAAAACTGTTGTAATTGGCTTTCGGAACAACTGATCATCATCTCATCACTTGCGGGACCGCCGTGCGCAACCCGGGCGATCACGTGTAAGCATTAATCGAATTAGTACTTAGACCATGTTCTTTGTCTCTCTTTTTCAACTTCATCTTCATTTATTTTTAAATGTAAGTCTTACTATCCCTGCTCAAAACAGTCCGCTCAATGAAATCATCGAACGCCACCTTGTTACGTACTTTTTTGCACTTACCATCTCCAATAAGAAATCCTAATCCACGCCTCTTCGATACTATTCTTGTGACTCTGTTACATAAATTCAATAAAGAGCACCATTCCTTCATGATAATTGGAAACTTCACACTCAGGCTTGTCACCGGAAAGGAAGGATAATTGCTGGATGAAGCGTCTGAGCATTCTTAACTATACATTTTAATCGTCAGTGTAAAATCTTTCTTGGTTTGAGGTTTTTTGTCAAAGTAAACTCGTCCAATATTGTTTGGTTTGTGTGTTTGCTAACGCAACACAACGGTCTACTCTTTTAGACTTTTCAAGATTGTCGAGTGTTTGGTAGTAATGTTGGGCATTCATATGTTAACACACTAGTTATTGGGTAATTCAAATGGAATTTAATAACGCGGACCATTTGAAATCGGGCAATACCATTTTCAAACAACCCCAAACAGTTTACTTCAACGAGGCAGCTTTGATACCTCCTACCCTTTAATTTGTTGGCCATAGGGGCATGATTTAGGAATTTGTATTTCCTCCTATGGTACTAAGTAAGTAAGATATATCAGACCTGTTATTCTACACTGTTCTTTGTCAAACACACCAAGAATTTCGAGCCAAAAAGATGAAGCACAGATTCCTCTCAATTATTGCTGGCTTGCTGTCTGCAAACATGTTTCCATCATCCTATTCGGGAGTTCCAGGTTTTAGCTTTTCCAGAGTGTGTCATGATCTTTTTGTTGGCAACGTTCCCAGACGTCCGTAGCAGGAGCAGATTAGCTCCAAATTATCCAGGGGGCGTGTCATATTAGAAGGACTGAAAACTTCTAATGGCACTATGTGAAAAAGCTTTTAAAATAGCAATGATTCTTATAATCGTGGGAGAGCAAAAAGTTAAAGTTAAAGGAAGCGATTGTCTCTCTGAGCCAATCCACCTCCGTAAGGTAAGTACTAGAGTGTAAAGTTCTTAATTTCTGGACAGAGCCAAGTCCTGGTACCTGGCGTATAACTCTAATGCATTGTAATAAAATAGCCTTTACTTTATTGAGATTTTCGACACCGGAAGTTTTAATGGCTAATTTACACCGAGGTGCAAAAAAAATGAAGTTCAAAATAATAACTGTATCGGCACCAGCTGTTTTTTATTAAAGTAGAACCATCAACCACAAATGACGGGATGAAAACGAAAGAGGCAAAGTTCGTTCAAAGTAAAGTGTCACTTGGGTCTAAGGGATGTAAGAAGACCTTTGGTCAGAAGATATTAGAAGCAGACCTACTTCTCACGGGGCTGAGGGATGTAAAAAGACCTCAATTTGGGCGCAGCGCTAGCTTATATAGACTTGCTGACGTCACGGGTCATGTGACAACAAGCCTATGCGTGATTAGCTTGCTATAATCTATGTAGCTATCAGTTGCAAGTCTAGTAATTAAAATTAATGCAGGTGGACTGAATGATATTGAAGAAAAGAAGATTTGAAACCGAAAAATAGACTTTATGAAATGAAAATTAATTTTTGGGAAAAAAATTGAAAAATGTTGACTTGCATTTATGAATATCTTGGTCTTCAAGGTAGCAAGATCTCATTACTTAACAAAAAGTTTCAGGAGCATATTTCCTGGCCCCAGTTCACTTCGGTTAAAGAGAAAGAGCCCCTTACACCATGTTGTAGGTGTGAAAACATACTCTGTACTTTTCTTACTCTTTTATTTCTCCCAACTCCTGCCCCTCTATCATTTCAGCCCTAATATAAGTGAGTCCTTTGAAGTCTGTGACGAGTGTTGGCGAATCCAGACTGAACATCCAAACTCCTGAAAGTCAGAAAAGGAAAAAAGTGTAATTTGCCTTGAAGTTCCAATTAGAAGCTTGGATTTTCATCACAGTATCCTTTAATAATCCGAAAAGTCTTCAGGATTTAGAGCACAATCCTAGATCTCAAATGATACTGATAGCAAGATTGTGTTGGCATCTCTTCAAGTGTCTTCATAACCCTTACCTCTTTAGAATTTTTTTGTAAACTACGTCAGGTTTCAGAAGATAGTTACCCTGTAAAAGTCCAATTTATTATCCCTGTTGCCGCACTACTCCTGAGTTACCTACCTATTCAGGGTAATCAAAGACAAAATTTGAAAAGTGATCGAAAAAGAAGAAAAAGAAAAGATAATCAGTACCCAGCCATTTAATTATTCAAAGTATTATCTAATAAAAGGATACCTTATCAAATGTGAGAATACCACTTTCATAAGACTAAGCAATTTTATTCGAAAAAATAAATAGATTCTGCTTTCAGTACGAAATCAAGCTTTCATTCTGGTGATTGTAAAATCTTATTTGCTGATGATAAGAAAGAGAGATAGTTTCCCTTGAGTCATAGGTCATGCCTGATTAAGCTATGAATTGCATGTTATTTAACCCTCTTAAGTAACTAGATACCTACCATATAATATCTCCTATTGTCAGTTTGGTCTTGACAGTGTATAATGGTAGTTTCTTTTCCCTTTTTTTTGTCCTTGTAAGAAACAGGTGAGTAGTGAATGTCACATTTATAGCTTTTTTCCCACCCTGTCAGCCATTTAATTACATTTTTTCTCTGTACATTATTTAGCGCTATGTATGTGCTCTTTCATGCTCAGTTTTTTAGTAGAGCCTAGAAGTTTTTATCTAAAGAGGACTGAGCATGAATCCCTTAAATAACCAAGTCCTCAGTTCTGGGGTACAGGAAGGTCTTCAGAGCAAAAATTAGTGGCAATCTTAGCCTCTAAGTTTCTTCATCGTTGGAAAAATTGTCTTACTCCATAAAAAAGTCACAAGTACTTGTTGAACCAAACTATTTTTAAAATCAGGGATCTTTTCTGTTTCATCCCATCTTGGTATTTTTTTTCTTCTCTTTTTTCTTTTTTTTAAATAAAGTGTCCATCAAGAGATTTTCTCATGCTTTAGATTGCAGATTTACCACTGAAAATATCCATTTTTAATTTCTTTAATATATTTTTATTTAAAGTTTTATTTGTATTTTTACCAAGCTAATTAGGAAATCTGTATTTTTCTTTTGTTTTAGGTAAAGATCACCTTCCCCTAGCATGGATAGTATCAAATCAGGATGGTTCAGCGAATTCAGTCCTTTGTGGCCTGGAATCTGCCTTTCACTTGAAGTGGAGGATGTGCTCCACAAGGAGAAATCTGATTTTCAAGATGTCATGATTTTGAAAACGTAAGTATATTCAAATATATACTGCCACCGTCTCAGCTTCTCATCTCAGGCAATTTAAAAAGGAACAATACCATAACTGGACCGCGTTAAACAGAAAAGAACCAAGCCACATCAGCTATTGCCAAATTTGATTGGCTAATTTAATTTTTTACATGAAAATAGTTGTGCGGATTTTTGTGCAAATTTCAGTGAACTTTCTCCATAGTACAAAGCAAATTCCTTAACATTCTCAAAGGGATCCACACAAACGTTTTCTCGTAAAAAATTAAATTGCCCATTTAAAATTGGCAATATCTGATGTGGCTTGGTTCCTTTCTGTTAAACGCGGTACAACTAGCCTGTGCACAGTAGTGCTTATTGCTCAAATGGAGGATTGCCACGCGGAAATGTGGAAACTTAAGACATTTTATCTCAAAAGCTGAACAATCTAAATTGTTCAGTCTTGAAGTACTTGAATCTTCCCCTCCTGATTTTTTGTTTCTGAGCTGGAAGACATTGTCAAAAAGAAAGGGAGGATTGAGCAAGCAACCACGGCAGTAAGTGAACGTAACGGTTCTGGCTTGTCAGGCGGTCATTACAATGAACAAGGAGGGTTCATTCCGTACCCAAGACTACTTTGTGCATCAATTTATAATCTCTGTATTTTTTTTTTTTTTTTTTTTTTTTTTTTTTTTTTTTGTAAGGAAATCAAATGGAACAGCTTTAATCCTAGATGGTGTCATCCAGTGCACTGAATCCGATGAGTTCTCATACCAGGAAATGATTTCTTTTCTACCGCTCTGTTCTCATCCATGTCCCAGAAATGTAAGTTTAAAACAAAAAATCTACAAGTTTGAAGTTTCTAAGATAGAATGCTCTTGTCTTCCTCTTTTTATTTGAAGACTTTTCTCTCACAGAAACACAGGCGGATCCAGTAATTTGACAACACCGGATCCCTTCCATTTAAACTTATGTTAAATAATCGATTCTTGTTGGATTGCCTGGCCCCTCCAAGAATCGATACATTCCCATTGGTTTAAATGGAGAAAAACAATGTTGTCAATTTACTGGATCCACCAAAGCCCAGAAAAATATTTTGAAAACTGCGTAAAGTTTCAAAAATGATTCTGAAGGTCCTACACAAAACATTACACCACACAATGCAGCAACTAATTTTTGTCTTAAAATTAAATTTAAAAAAGAGGGGTAAATGATGGAAATGTAATTGCACATTAATGCAATAACTCAGCCTGACTCAGAATTCTGGCCTTAGTTGGACAAAGTCTATCAGATACACACCATGTTTAAACCAAAAAAAGAGGTTTGAATTTTCATTCTTCCATAAAACTCAATGTAAAAGACAAAGTTTATAGACTAATATCATGTTCAGAACATTTTTTCTCAACTTTAAAATTTACGACTACTGACTAGTCGAGTTCAAAACCACTTCTGACTCATTTTTTGTCAAAACGCAACTCGCTGCGTTTCTGATACACTCGGTCCAGTGATGATGGCAAGGAAACTCATGATCATGATATCATTCAATATCATTGTCAATGTCATTAGCGACAAGGATCTCTAGACTAATGCCACTGGTGATGACATTAATTTCCCTTTTGCCATTGCCTTTGCCACTGATTTCACCTATGTATTTATCACAATGTTCAATCTGATAGAATAGTAAAAATAATATGGTCAACCAGAGAAAAACTTTTTCTGCACTTGTTCAAAGTTCATCATTTTTTTTATATTTTATCAGGTGCAACAATAGTAGCAAGATTCTGTGACTTAGGTAACTGACCTATCAGTCAATTAATCACATATGTGTATTGTTAAAATATACATAAAGGCATAAGAGGAATTAATTCAAAGATCTCCACTAAGAACTCTATAATTCGTTATCAGTGAAATATTTTCCAGGTTTTCCTCATCATTTCAAACTTTTTCTCAGGTTCTCATTGTTGGCGGCGGAGACGGCGGTGTTGCCAGGGAAGTGAGCAAACATCCGGATGTACAATTGATCGATCAAGTAGAAATAGATAGATCTGTGATAGAGGTTTCAAAAAAGTACCTCCCATTTATGAGCCAAGGCTTTCAAAGCCCCAAATTGAACCTCCATGTTGCTGATGGTTTTGCATTCATGGAAAAATGCGACCAGAAATATGATGTCATCATCACTGATTCCTCTGATCCCGTCGGTAAGATACTTTTTAATTAAGTCCTAGAGCTTTGAAACTTAAATGTAGGAGTGTCAATTTTTGAGTAGTGTCCTGTAATTTAGGGGAAACGATGATCAAGGTCAGGATTTAGGGAAACTCTCATCAACGCCAATTTTAAAGTCTTGTCTTTTCTTCAAACCTCCCACCTCCTGAATACTGATAGCACAGTAAATACTTGTGAATAGGTCTATAAATGTTGGACTAGATGGCTGGACTCCTTGATTTTGGCAGAATGCAAAGATAAGGAAAATAGTTGCGAAGGGATGAAGCAATCGTTTATAACCATTCACCCTTAGCCAAGAGCTCTCTTTGAACGAGCGATGGTTTAAGCTGGCGTCAGAGCAGCTTTTCTTGGCTGCAAGGAGGGGTGCTTAAGACATCCAAGCCAACCTTGCGGACAGATTTTTATCATGCTTTTACTCATTTTGGTGCAGCACTACTTGAACCACCTAAGCCCCCATCCTCTCGGAGCCTATTAGGGAGACTCCCTTCAACCCTCATTTGTCTCCTCTCAAGAAAAGCTCAGTCAAGTTTTAACTTCTTTGCAGCCTCTTCTTCCTTTCTAGGGAGTTTCTAATGTGAATATTTCTGTATTGCAGGGCCAGCTGAATCCTTATTTCAACATAATTACTTTAAGTTGATGCGCAAAGCCCTCAAACCGGGCGGTATTGTTTGTTCCCAGGCAGGAGCAGTGTGGATTGACAAACACACTGTTGTATCTACTTTCAGCCATTGCCTGAAAGAATTCAAATCTGTTGCTTATGGCATTGTCTCTGTTCCTACCTATCCCACCGGACAAATTGGATTTGTGTTGGGAAGTCTTAATCCAGTAAGTTTCATGATGATTTTGTTATTTTAGAGTTTTTTGCTTCCAAGTAAAATACTCTTTTTTGTACTCTTATTTGTTGTGTATTTCCTCAACGAAATTCTCAAATTCAGTATTCTAGAGAGAAAATCATTCACTTTCAGTACTTGGCGCAAAAATGCAGAAAATGTTGGATTCTCATTTTTCTGCTCATCACTGAAGTGAGAAATCCTAAGTTCTGATGAAAATTACAAAATTTTCAGATTATCCATTGGATTTCATTTTGTACCGAGAACTACAATTTCTGGCTTATATGTAAAAAAACGTATGTCTGTAGAGAAAACTAATAGTACGTACGTTGTTTTTAAACTTAGCCAGAATTGTAGTTCCTAATTGAAAAATGTTGTCAAATGGAGAATTTGCAGGTGTCTGAAATTTGACGTGATTTGATGATTTTGTCTGAATTTGATGAATGTCATGTTGAAGTGGAAACTACTGAGTGAACTGAAGACAAGGGTACACTCGGTTCATAAATTGGGCAAATATTGGAGGAGATATGACAAAATCATCCAATTTCTTAAAACACATGTGTTTAAATAGAAAATGCTGCTAGATGACGTCACTAGGCGATGCATTTTTTCACTTTTAAATCTATTTTTATACTACATATTTCCCATATCAGAAAAAAAGCATAAAAAATATTGTGCAGTCAGCTTCTTAAGCACTCTCAGATGAAGCAAAAAAAATGCGTGCAAATTCTCCATTGAATGGATTCAACCAGAATCAGGCCAACTGCATTAGAAATTGCCTAATTTACCCTCATGATTTATTTTTCAACCAAATGAGCAACTTTTATTTTCCATTATTCGTTATGATTTTTTGAGCATCATTCTATCCTTAAATTTTTAAGTAAATTCTTCATAATCTGATAAAAATCCAGAGAATGTTTCAAGGCGTTATGTTGTTTAGTTCTCCGTTTAAATTAAGAATTAAGAAAAGAAGTTAAGTAATGTAAAATGCAGTTAGGCTGATCCTGGTTTTAAATCCCTATTTGTGAGGTTTCTTCCCCCCCCCCTTTTTTTTTCTTTTCTTTGATGATATGTATACGGCCCTAGGAAGTTTAACTCGAAAATAAAATTAAAGGAACTCATGAATAAGAGCACTCATTTGTCTGTCAAAATTAGAGAAGTTGCATCACCAACTAAAAAATTTCTTTAATCTAATCTAAGACTTTACTTTTGATTTCAGGATACTAATTTCAAGGTTCCTCTAAGGAAATTCAGCGATGAAGAACTAGACAAAATGAACTGTCGATACTACTCCAGTGATATTCACGCAAGTGCTTTTGTTCTCCCCCGTTTTGCTGTGAAATTATTGGAAGATGCAAAGAGAGGAGACATAAGCCAACAGAACGGAAAGACTGTAAAATAGATGGACTTTAGCAATCCATGCAAGTAGCATCCTCACTTTGCTTCTTATTTTAAGAGTTGAAAAAGAAAAAAGAGCATTTATTCAAGATTTCTATTATTGCATTTTTTAATTTGTGTCGGTTTCCTATTTTATAATTGTTGAATTTTTACACTCTCATATCAAGTTTTATATAAAAAAATAAACCATTTTATTTTTAAAACTGAGGGTTTTGTTTTTTTCTTTCTTTGTTGCTTCTATGTCTAAATAACAGAGGAAAAATAGTTATGTTAATGAGTATTGAAAACTAACAGCCATAAGCTTTCATTCCTTAAAATTTTATAATTTGATTAATTGTTCTTTAAAAACCTTAAAGTAATGAGTAAAAAATGTGATCTTTCTCCAGCCACAAGTCAGTAGCAGATTGCAAGGATTAACATGTCTCCCTTGCATCTCAGCGCTTTGTTAAAAAATAATTTGATTCATTTGTGATTTATTTTGCTTTCTGTCAATTGGTTTAAAATTCGCAGCTCAGATATTGCAGTTTTGAGAAAAAGCCATTTAGTTTTAATCCGTCATGCTCAAAACCCAAAATTGTCTCTGATGAAATTCTGGTTTACTTAAACTATGTCATGCACACTCTGGAATGAAAATGAACAGATCCACTGTCAACTTGTTTCTCAGGACAAAAGAGAGTATTTCCTGTCTGAAACACAGATTTCGCTCCAAAATTTTGACCCAGCTTGATAAATTAGGCTGTTCTGAAAACTTAGCTTTTGAGAACAAGGTCCCTTTTCTTACGAACAGTCACAAATATTTAAAAAAATGAATAAATATTAGAGCTGACTGAAGAACCATAGAGTCAACGCCAAATTAGTTCACGCACTTTAAGACTGCGACAAAAGATCTGCCATCTGGATTCTTGTGTTTACTTTCTATGCTAAAATGACGTCAGACAATCTTCTTCCGCAGCCTAAAAGTGCGTAAACTTGTGTGGCGTGGCCTCTAAACCACATTAATTTACTCAAATTATGAGGCTTCGTTAATGCAAATTCATGAATAAATAGAATATATTTGTACCTGAAAGAAACAGCCCACGAACATAAAACAAAGCTATTTCCCAACAAGAGGTTAAGTACAGGTTTCCTGATAGAAATAAAATATAAGCATATTTTAAACAATCTTAAGTGAGTTTATTACAGGAAAACAAATCTCTTTCAACAAGAGCAAAAACTAATTATAAACTATCAAAACCATAACTGAGGAACACGGAGAAAGAGAAATGACTGATAATACTTTTTGTAAAAAAATATTTTTGGTAAGGTAGAATTAATTTTAATATTAGATAAGTTGGAGATATTTTCAGTTTAGTTTGGCCCAAGATTTGCAGTGGTTTGTTGGAAGATGCCCCTTTCTTTTGACCATCTACATTAACAAACTGGAAGATATGAATTAAACATTGAAAGGCTCAAACTTTCCTAAAATTAATCCAAACTTACACTTTTAATTAGGCCTTAGCTATTGGAGTATTTTCCAGGGGCAAATACATAATTTCTCCTCTATGACTTTTGTCCTTCAGAATATGAAATGGTGAGAGTTAAGAGCAACTGCCCATTTAATTTTCCTTGGAAACCACAGTGTTTCACTAGTGGCTTCTTGGTGACAGGTGACAAAGCAATATTAAAAAAAAAGAAGAGTCACTTAAAAAAAATAGAGTTACATAATGAGAAAGAGGATTTGGGAGAAATTACTTATTGCTCATTAGAGAGCAGCATGGAGTAACAACAGCTTTCTGTTCAGATGCCCTACTTTTCAATCAACTTATCCATTGCGTGGCAAACATGTAGTATGTACACACAGGCTTTCAAAATTGCCCCGCAACATTATGAGTGGTAGCATTAGTGAAATGTTAATGTAGCATTGAAATCTCACAAGGCTTAAGTAAGAAAGTGCATTTAATTAGCTTGTGTTTTAACGACCGGATTATACTACTCATATCGTATTTGCGACGGGACTGCACCATTGGAGTGGCTTATTTGATCACATTAGGTTAGATTTTACAGAAAGTATCAAACTGAACTACATATGATTGAAGAGGAAACTGATATAAATATACATTGTGTGACACATTTCTCTTTCAATTTCAATTAAATTGTATTTCTGAGCTAAAATCAGCCAGTGAGGTCCGGTGTTCCAGTTTAGAAAAAATAGAAAGTTATGTAAAATAATTTTTTTTAAAAAAAATATTTTTGATCATAATTTCCTCAATTTAGACTCCAATACACCTCAAATTAGACCAAGATGATGTAGATTGGTGAATTAGGAGAAAACATTCCCAGCAGTTTAAAGACGAGTTTCAAGCCTCTAGCACTGAAGGCTGATCTCGAAAATGATGATATGCACTTGTACAGACATACTCGAAGTGTTAAATACATATTAACGTGGGTGGATCTTGATATTAAAATTTTTGCGTCGATTTTTTTAGACAAAACTGTCAACAATGAAAATTATGAGAAACACCTTAAAATAAAAGCTGCTACATTGAGTAACTTAAGTTGTCCGTTTTTGGGAGCTAACTGAAAATCAATTGCGATACCCCAAAATATGCAGTACCTACTTCAATGTTACCAAGGCCTAATACAGATCTACACTAACCGACTTAACTAATTTAATTTTTTTATTTTTGTACGTATACATACAAAAAGACTATTCTATTATTAGGAGTGATACTTAATTTTACAAAGACGAATTCCTTTTTTTTTATCACTTACTTTTGGGTAAGAAGCACAAATTGACTCTAAAATGGTCGAAGATAAAAAAAAAAAAAGATAGCGAGCAGTATCTCAGTTAAAAGTGATCAAAATAAAACACACAAAAATGCAAACAAATCAGCAGCCTAGGTGCCCTACAGAAGTAAACAAAGGTTAAAAAGTTCATTCCCCAATTAGAGAAAAGTCTCCTTAACAATCTGTAATAGTTAAGAGATATTACATACTCAAATGGGTAGGTGCACACTCATGCTACAAACGTCATAACAATATCACAGTGAGATTGTTTTCACTTTCAAATTAGCAAGTACTGATGAGAAATGCTCTTTCGTGCCAAAATTTTCAACGATCTGTGACCAAATTCAGGGTCAGCAAGGTCAGGGTTTTGGAAGAGGTCGCTTATTTTTTGAGACCTGAAACTTTACTGAAAACAATGAGGTAATTTTAGTTCTAGAGACAACAATTTAACCGAGCCTTGGAGAAAAAAATTACATAATAAAAAAATTTCAGCTATCAAAGAAGGATAGGGAGTCTGGAAAGACTAGCTTGCATGGAGTATTTGCAATTTGCCTTTGCATTCTATGATGTGATAAAATAATTACAAGTTGTGTCACAGACGTTGAAAGTTAAAGTATTCCTTATATTCTTGACTGACCAGATTTGCAAGTAAATTTTTGTTTAATGTCAGTAAAAAAGTTTCAACTCTTCTGTTAATTTCCTCTGAGGCCATTTATGAGTGACAGGAGCTCTGAACGTTTATTTTGGAAGAGTGATCGATCCATGATTCCATAGTCATTTAATTCACCATGCCTGAGTACCTCTTTTGCTAGGTGGTCTATAAAACACAACAAGTAGATTCCACAGTCATAACTATTATCCTGCTGTAGACAGTCGGAGACTTCAACAATCTGGAAGTCATCTAATGATTTATTAAAATAATAATGGATTTTGAGAGCCAGTTTGTTTGCAGCTGAGTAATTAGTGCCCGTTGATGAGTCAAAGTGGAAAAACATGTTTTGATTGCGGCTATAGACAAGCAAACTCCAGTGAGTACCTCCTGCATAATCCACTGCCTCATTGTTATTCAGGGGAAAGAAAACAAATGAGTGATCCCTGTACAGAGGATCCAGGAAAATTTCTTGCTCCGATCTAGGGCTTTCTTTCAAGCACTGTGTTACCTGGAAATAGAAAATATAATTGCACCTAATAATATCAAAGTAGATATCCGTTGCTCAGTTTTTTTTATTACACACACTTCCTGATTTCTCCACATTTCAACCTGGTTTCGCAAAAATTTTAAGGTTACATGGTTCGCAGGATTTTAAATTTTTTCATTTTAATATCAATTTTTTTTGTTTTTGTTTTTTTGAGCCTACGAATTCCTCCTTTAAAATTGCTTTACTTAAAATGCACTCTAAAACTATGGCATCTGCACAACCCAAAGATTTTTGGGAGAAGAAATCCCCTGGAAGAAGAAACCTTTTTTTCTCTTAAAAGTCTAATTTCAATTTGGTACACATGTAAAAAGGATTTTAAAAAACTAAAGCTAACACTTGGAGCTATCATCACTGTTACAGCCAAAGAGATTTTTGCAAGAAGGGTCTATACCAAAGAAAGAAAGGAAAAAAAAAAAAAAAAAAAAAAAAAAAAAAAAAAAAAAAAAAATTCTGCGACCACTGATATTGTTTTCACATCACTAAGGGTGACTATTTTAGGAACTGAATCATTTACTCTCAGACCAAAGTTTATAAAACTTAAAATTGAATTCTGAATTGAAACTCAATTAATATCAGAAGTTATGGGAAGAATTCTTAGAAAATTTTGGTCATAGGCTTTCCTTTAGATGATGAACTGGAGACCATGTGTTTATGGTAGTTTTAGATGCACAGAGCAAGGATTTCTTGGGCATAAAAACTGAACCAGCTGTCTTAGTATTCTAATGATTAAGTGATAACCCAGTAGTAGAGATATTCTGTAACAAATTACCAGTACCCCAAAATTTGAAATGATCAATATGACTTATTGTTAGGAGTAATTCTGAAATCGCTTTCAAATGTCCTTATTTCCAATTTGCAAACCTTGAGACAGGAGTTTTGGGTGCAAAATACCTAATAGATACTCCTTCCAGAATCTCCCCTAAAACTGTGTAAGATGAGACTGAGAGACTCATGATTTAGAGTGGCAAATCATCTCCCCAACTTAGATCAAGAAAAATTCAGTTTATCAGGGCTAGATCACAATTTGACTACATTTTGCAATTAGAAACTCGATCTTTAGGTTCCTTTTAGAAGTAAAACATGTACTTAGACACATGTACTTATCGGTTTTCCAGTGCATAGCTAGATGCTTTTACCTTTGAGACACGAATAGTAGTTGTATGGTATGTAGTTCAATTATTTTTCGGATGATAAAGAGAATTGGAGGACAATTTTTTTTTGGGGGATTAATCAATTTGAGTCGAAAATTTTTCCTGATTATTTCATCTTACCTCAGGGCTTATGAATAAGAGACCACAGCCAGGATACATCTCATGAGATAAGTATTCCATGTAAAATCCTATAATTGTATCATTCAGCCAGTGAGAACCTTTAAGCAAATGCACATCCGATTCTCTGAGAAGGGAATCATGATACGTTAAAACAATTGAGTTGTTCTTCATTCCGGAGCGAGTTGTGTACATCTCACTTTTAGAAATCCCCAGAGCCTGTGAAATGAAAAATACTTGAGATGATTAATTAGGTTGACTCAGGAGATTCAAAACTTAAAAGACTTAGGCCTGGACCAAACAGACCCAGTTTGGATGAATTAGTTGCATAAACTGCAGGTTCCAGAAGTATAGCTGAGATATAACAAGTACCTGGAACTAGTTTGCCCCAAGTTCCTCAAACCAAGCTTGTGGGAACAGGGTCTCTGCACAACTAAACAGTTAAGATTTCCTGAAAATCTGAAGGAATGAAGATAAAAGATGAGTAACTAAGATGAAAAAAGGTATTGAGGGCTTCCTAGATGACAACCCCAATATGTTTCCTGTGGGATAATTCAAGTCCAAAATATAATTTGCAAAGAATGCCAACTTCAGCAAGAATCACTGAACTTTCATAAGTGGTAGCATACAATAGATGGAAAGTTTAATAAAAGTACAGGTCAAAATGAGCATACTACCAAAAAACGCAATGATTGGTTTCTAAGGGATGACAACAAATGTGTCAAATTCACACAGAACTTTCCTATTTACAATTTCCGCAAAAGATACATTGAAACAAATTGTGGAAATGAATTAGATGTTATGCTGAGGCTTGTGTGTGTCCTCTTTTTCATCTACATATTCAGTGCTTTGGGACAATTTCTAGCAAGCACATCTCATCTGCCATCTTCCTATTCATGCCAATGACATTGATATCATAAGTAAGAATTTCAAAGCATACATGTACTTGATACTCACAGAGAGGAAGGGAGAAAATTACGGTATTGGATTACCGATTAAGGCTGAAACGGGCACAGGGCATCAAAGAATAAAACGATCTGGTGATAACTGATTTAGAATGCCTTACGGTTGGTTTGTGTAACATATCAACGAGAGATTAACTTAAAATCGCCTTTCTGGAAAAAATTTTGGGAGTTGCGAAGAGAAGAACACAAAGGCATTTCGGAAAAACTGAGGTGCCGTAAAAAATTGCAGTCTTTTAAAAGTTCCGAATTTCGTGAATATCCAATAAATAACTCAAATAACCTGGAGTTGCAGAAAATAACAGTGATTGTTATTGTTTACATTTTAGTTCACCTTGAGTAAGATTGCGCAACTTACAAGCAGACGGCGCTACTTGCGCTAGTAAGGAAGTGCTACTATTGGTGCTTGGTGATCGGTGATGATAAGCGTGCCAATGCGAATGGCTGGGAGGTTGGTTACGGCTTTACGGCAACGGTATCCTCTTTTTATGAATGTTTCATGTTTCATGATAATTGTTTTGTATGTTCAGTTCTCTTATCTATGCATTCATTTTTTTTCTTGCTTCGGTTATCAATATCGCGCTTTCTATTGTGTTCATAGTACACTGTTATATAGCGGTTTCACTAAACGTGTTCGAAGTTTTACCCGTGTCATTCATGAAAGTATCAGATTTATCACCACTGATTCCATCAAGAACACCCAGCTTTCTTCTATGGAACTAATCACATCCAGTTTTATTATCCAGTAAACCATGATTTTGCAGTGGGTGATTTTCATTCATCTGGCTCTTCTCTGTTACACCGCTTCAACTGTTAATCCTCAAAATAATAATGCGAATGCTCTCTCCGTTTTTAATGGTGACAGTCGCGCTTTGATCATTAATCGTAACATCAACAAGGAGCATAAAGTGCCTCTCCGAGATGAACGAGAATGTAGCCATGAACTAAAACATTTGTGCCCCGTTGAAGAATATGAATCGGATGATTTGTCTATTCTAACATGTATCCAGTATCTAAAGGTTAGTAATTTGTTTATGTTAATGCTGAGCGGAAAGTATTTCGATGGCTCAAGTGTGAAGACAGTATCACATGTTCAAAGTATGAGCGCTCAAAGTGGGGTCACGTTACTCTGAAAGATTGTCTGGCTGACAATTTTTTAGGGTCATAGAGGATCACGTAATGCTACCTTAAGATCATCACTTTAATTGTGTGAAAAGTGCATGACACTGAGAATCACTAAAATTAACACATTCTCACGTCATTTTCAATGCGTTGGCCTCGTCTTGCAACACAGTCATGTTTTTCATTCAAAATACTTCATTACTGCTTCATATGAAAAATAAATCACCAAGATTCATTCAGGTTAGCAACAGATCACTCCAGAATGATATTCAGAACAAAGCTAAGTAGTAGCAATATCTATTTCAAAGTTGGAGAAACATAACAAAAACAATCGCTTAGCATAGCAGTAAGATGGTGCCGGGCACCAGTCAACTTGTCAATGCAATTTTGTCCCAGGTGTGCCTTGACAAGTACATCTGTTACTTAATAACTGCAAATGGGCTAAGTGGTTTGAATTTTCGACAGTACCTTGAAACGTAAGTCATCAAGCATCTACTTACACAATATTATTGTTTGAAACGTATCAGAAACGGTTTGCTATGATGAATATCAGGAATGTAAATTATGGCTCACACCAGCCCAGCTCTGCTTTTTTAACTCAGACTGGAGATCAGGAAAGCTACAATGGTCAAGGAAATCATTATTAAATCGAAACATAATCTAAGTTAGAGTAAAGGGTTCTACGGTACTCAAGTGCAGTGCCTGTGAACAAATGCTCAATCCACAGCTGAGAGAAAATCGATACTCCCCAGACCCTGTTGAAGCTTGATATGTAATGGTGGTAGGTGCAATTGTGAAAAACGCGAGATTTTTAATGATTTTATGTAACCGTTGGAAAGTCGCTTAGTTACTGCGATTTTGCTGTGATTTTCTCTGCACTATGTGCACAACAATGCAATACTTAATTGTGTTATAAGAGTGTGGATAAAAAAAAATACACTCTGTGAGTTTCCTATCATATGGTTTTAATTCTCTTCTTTTTTCTTCTGTTGCAGACCTCTGAAATTAGTCAATCATGTCAGCATGTGGTTTGGCAGCACACGATAGACATTGTCTCTGATGACAGTCTCAGTAAAATTATACGGCCATTTTGTAAGGAAGAAATTTCCTGCAAGCAGGATGTCTTTAGGTGCATTATTGAACATCTACCTGAAATTAAGTCCAAACCATGTATGCGCATCATTCACCAAATTGAATTAATAGGTTTTTCCGACTTCAAAGTGATATCCATGTTTACGCAAGACTGTCAAAATGATATTGAAAAGTATCACTGCGGATGCTTACCTGGGGATAGAACTGTAAGTGATGTCACTCATGCTACCTTTTTTCCCCTCTCTAAGAACCACTTTTGTATGATAATGAGAAATGTCAGAAATTACACTTGACTCAATTTGTCTCCTATCTGGTTTCCCTTTTCTATACACTGCACTTTAAATGGACTAATTTTGCTTAAAGGAAGTACGTGAGAATATGTTCATTCAAATAGAACTTTGTGCACAAGGCTTACATGCCACATATAAGTTTTCCTTCGCTCTGAAAACTTGATAAGTCAGAGAATTTTGCAAGCAGTGTCTAACAGAAGGCAGCTCAACGGAAGGGGAAAACTGAAGTGTAAATTTTGTTCCAAGGTCAGGGAATTTCAGGGGATAGGTAAGTACCTATAACAATTGTGGAGTCAGGTAAAAGCAAACCGAGTCGGAGAATTGGGAAATGAAGAAATTACAGAATCCTTGTACGTAGCTCCTTTCGATTTTAGTCATTTGCATGTATTTCATTCTAGCTTATTTGCGTCTAACTTTAATTTGATAGAATTTTAACCTGTTGACAATGGAGGCACGGTTCAGCAAATATATAGATTTTACATCATATCAAATATCTCAGGTGAAAATTTTAATTGGAATGTCAAGATGTTTTTTGTACATCTTGATTGCAAAAGAAGTTTGATATTTTCGACCATGCTCTCTTTTTAAGTTAACTATCAAGGACTTGGAAATTTGAAATCGATTTTAGCTAGTTTTGTGCCCCAGAAGTTGCCAGAGATTGCATTTAAGCCTAAGAGCACTGTCGTATAGTATCTTCACATATTATATTAAGTCGGTGATTGAAAGACACAGTGTTCGTGAAGGAAGCAAACTTCTTTCCTTCCTGGCAACTAGAGATGCCGTACTTGAGTGAAGAGCATTCACCCCTCCTGTGACTTGATAGTCATTACTAACTGTCACATCAATCTTACTAGCTATCCATCTTACTCGTAATCCTGTGCCAACTCATAATTGATGCAAGTTTTTTCTTCTTTTCTTTTTAATTTTACATTTAGAAAGCAACATTTTCACAAGGAAAAACCCTTGCCTGCCTTCAAGAGCATCTAACTTTGTTGGAAAACAAATGTCGAAAACAAGTGTTACAACTGTCGGAGTTACAGAGTGATGACGTTGCATTCGATCGAGTTCTCGACAAAGCTTGTGCTGATTTGAAAGCCAGGTTTTGCAAGAATGTCCAGTCTCCAGAAGAAGTGTACAGTTGCTTGATTCGTCATCGAAATGATGATTACATTAAACAGGAGGTGAGTTGGAAATTTTTCAATCCTTTGGTGTCATGACATGTGCGAAAATAAAATCATACCAGGCTTATAACGCCCGCTTTGTGAACATGACTGTTTTGTATTCTATGCCAAGATTAGTGCAATAAGTTAATGGCCTATTGCCGGTGTAAGTCGGCAATCACATAACTCGGTTTGCGACATTGCAGACTTCCGATCATACTTTATTTTTTAAACGGAAAACTTCTCAACAGCAATTCTTCAAAACTGCTGTGATTTTTCTTCTCTGTGGGAAGAAAATTCTGCAAAAACTTCAAGGAATGATGTCTATTTGTTCTCCTTTTAAAAAATAACATAGAGACGGAGATTTTCAGACATCGCAAACGAGTTATGTAATTACCGACTTACACCGTCGCTGTGTGTTTGCGTTGCTTTTCTCCTAAGACAGTCACGTCTGTTAAGGCTTGGTGCCATTTTGACATGGGAGTACAATTGAATCAGCTTGTAGGGTCAACAGTTGTGAAATAGTTGGTCCTATGATGAAAAATGCAGTAAGTAGATTATTTAGAAACTTTTCTTATCTCTTTTTCAGCTGCTTTCATACACTTAAAAGAAAAAGGAGAAGAATCTGTTTTTGAAGAAAATATAAAAATATTTATCAGATCTTCCAAATTCCCCAGAGGGTTCATAGTCGCTCTCACAGCGCTCTCTGGCACTCTGCCATGCCTAACCGCCACAAAACTCGGGCCTTAGTTGCCTTCATTAGAATGATAATTTTCTCGGGAAAAATACAACATTCTGTGTCTGAAAAGTTGTCATCCTCCAACTTTTCATCAGACAATTTGTATTAGCAGAAAGTCGGAATGGTTATCAAAAAACACCGATGAATGCCAAACTTTTTTTCGAATTGAATTTTCCTCTCCTCAAGTTTCGTTCCTGGTATTTTTTCTTTTATTTTAAAGTTTTGCATCTTTCTCTCTTTTTTAGTGCAGAGATCAGTTAATCCGAAGGGAAAAGTTGATTTCTCAAGATTTTCAAGTGAGCAAAGGACTCTCTCGGGCTTGCAAAGAGTACATTAAGATGTACAGGTGCCGGCGATGGTTGTCAGATGACAAGGAAATCCGTCTTGCTCAGATTCTGGTGTGTCTGGAAAATGCTATCCACAATGGTTTGTTTGTTTTTTTATTAAAATTAATCTCACTGTATCTTCAAATTGTTATATGTATGTTTTGTATGGGCAGAAACCCTAAGCAAAAACAAATTACGAAGTAAAAAAAAAAACAAAAAATTGAGAACAAAGAAGAAAAGAAACAAGGTTGAAATGTATATACTGACCAAAGAAAGTATTTTAAGGAATGACCATGGCCTAAAATTGGTCAACTTTGAAACTAAATGGAGCTACTGTACGATCAAGGAATCAACTTAGGTTGAGGTTTACTGGAGGTCAAAGAGCCCTCAAAGAAGGAAAGGGTGTTTTTTCCAGGTTTTTCGGCAGTCAATTTGATGTTGGAACCAAGATTTAAATGGAAGCACATGATGATAAAATATTCGGGAAAAAATTTCAGAATGAGTATAGGAACAAGTGTCTCCTCTTTTTGAAATTTGAGGAATGTTGAGGACGCTTTTCTAAAGTCAAAACGTATCACCAAGGATACAAATAAATGATCAATTTTTGAAGAAAATGCAAAAATATTTACCAGATCTTCCGAATTCTCCAGAGGGCTCAAGCTTTCAAGAAACGCAGTGATACAACAAGTGATATATTTAATTACAGAAAGGAAGGACAGTTTTGCCAAAAATATTTGAATAGGTGAAATATTTCATAGGTAAAGGCCTCTTCATCTTTTGAGCAAATTACACATTGCACAACTCATGATTTTTCGGTAGGTTCTATCCATGATGAAGGAATGAAGAATATTTCATTTTCTTTCTCTCAATCTTGGCCGTCTTGATTACCTGCTGTTTAAGATTGTACTTGATCCTTTAGTCCTCACATATTCTTCATTTCAGAGACAAGTCAGATCTCGCCAGAATGCATTCGAGAAATGAAAGATCATCGCCAGATGCTATTGGACGACTACAAGCTCTCTCCTGAAATTGTCTCTCAATGTTCAAATGACATTACAAACTTTTGTCAAGGTCTACGCAGCAAAACCATTCAATGCCTCATGGAACACTCTCATCCAAATAGGGTTCTTGGCAGAGTTTCGTTTCCCTGCCAAAAACAGGTGAGCAAAATGTATCCACATCAGTAGGTTAGTTTACTTAATTTCTTTTTCACGTGATGAAGACTCTAAGACTTTTAGTGATTTAGACCTAATCAGTTTACATGCTTGCAGCAATATTTCATTATCTGGGTTGCTTGCTGCAAACTCATTTTTCGATAACTGTTGTAGACTTAGGCAAGTTCCAGACTTAAGCCAAATTTCCAAGCAAGTTTGCCGCAAGATGTCTTACGAAATTCACATGATGTAGCAGAAAGTATGCTGCTAAGTTCTTATTTTGCACCTTTTGCAATGAAATGGTAAGCGTGCTGAAAAGAGTCCTAATGCAAGCTTGTTATGACTCAAGTAAGAAATTACCTAGTTTAACAGTATGAGTAAGTGCTACAAATTGAATGCAGAAAGTCTTAAACTCAGCATCAAAAATTAAATTACGCCACTTAGATCTTCAGATAACTGGCCCAGCAAAATGTGTGCAAAAACGCTGTGACAATGTTCCTACACAACATCCTGCCTTGAAAATAGCGATGCTGCGACATTATAACAACGTCTTTGGACACGTTTTACCACGCAAGAAGTGATTTCCAGGGTGGACCTAGCATCTACTGCATTTATGTTTACATTAGACCCATTTTAACAGCATCAAATTTTGTATTCCATGGAAGAAAAGTTTATAAAAATATATAATGATTTTCTGCACGACTCATGTCAATCATGTGGATGGATTATGAATTTATGACCCTGCTTAGATAGAAATATAATGTATTTTTCTCTCCTGAATATAACTTAGGAAGTTCAATGCATTCAAAGAAAGAGTAACAATTATTTTGTTGGGCAGGAGGGGGAGGGGTGTAAAGTTATGATATTATCAGCTCCCTGCAGAGTTAGTCTGTAATTTCAGATACCCAGAGTTGTTATATTTAATGTGTTTCAGTTGGAAACTCTTGTCTTAACATCTGATGTTGGTGAAGATTGGCGTGTGGATCCTGTTTTACATGAAGCTTGTCAATCTGTCGTCAATAAATTCTGTCCAGAGATCAAAGGAGGCAATGCAAGGTAAAATTTTCCTTCATGCCTGTAAGCTATTGCTTGTCAAAGTTTAGGGAGTAAAATGGAACGAAATTGACAGCATGAATTAATGTAATATTATTTAAAGATTAAATTAAATCATAAAATCCTCTCCTTCAGATAATTTCAGAAATAACTGGTATGATAACTGTTCAACAAAGACCGAGACTGTGCTTGCCAGTTTGTCGATAAGTGATAGTGTCTGTATCACTGATAAGTTAAGTAATGAGGCATTTGTCTGCGAATTCAAAACCAGAATTAAAAATTGAAAAAATCATCGGTATCAACTGACTTTGACAGTGCTTTATGTGATAAGAGAAATATTTTTGCCTCTACATTTTTGTGATGTCGAAATTGTATTAGCTACAATTTGCATGTAACAAACTGACCAAACCGTTACATCATCGTCTCATATCCCAGTTTCAATGGTTCAAATTTAAATAGACACCTAACATTGTTGTATCCGTGATATGGTGGTTAGATGTGTCTAGGTTTTTCTTGCAATCAAAATTACTCTAGTTCAATGAGTCATCAATTGATTTTTGACTCTGTATATTCAGAATAATCTTGCATCCAAGAGAAAGTAAAGTACCAAAAGTCGAAAACTAATCACAGAGTTTTGTGTAACTACAAGGGTCGTTCAAGAAGTAAATTTACCTACTTTATATTTCCTAAACTTACGGCACATTCAGACAGTCAATAAAAAACACCATAAAGCCACTACTCCTAGCTTTCTAATGCGTTACAGAACCTCAAATTTTAGCTGATGGAACAATAAAAAATTGGGTTTTTCTGAACCTACCTTCCCCCTGTGAGGACCCAAAATTTCACGGTGCTTCATGCGTATGTGAGCAATTGCATTTATAGCTTGTGATAGGTAAATGACTTGAGGATGGCTGAACATGGTGTGAAACATAACAGAGTATATACTTCTGACAAAATTTTGCAATATTGATCGTAGTTATTTTAATAATCAGTGGGTCTCAACTGCAGTGCGTTAGGAGGTTAAGTTAAACTTTTGATCCTGTGATGGAATTATGCAGCTCAAAAAGGTTGCGGAATATAAATTGGAGTCTGTTATTCATTATTTCACCAAACCGATCTTTCGAAAATCTTGATTGAATCAGATTAATTTATTTACTGTTGATCTAGAATCACCATCTAATTTCTCATTTTTGAAATTTGGGGTCCTTATTGGGGTTGATAATAGGATTATATTTGATTTTTTGTTATGCAACTTATCAAAGAGTTGGTTTCGATAGAGTAATTCATATCATGTGTGATGTTAACAGTGGGTGATTACTCGACCATACTCATTCCCTTCTCAGATGAATTTATTCCATAATTTTTCCTCTCAGTCTAAAAAAAACCACCCGTTTCAACTCTTAGAATTGATCCTTGTTCCATTTGTCTTTTTTGTCCATCGCTTTTTTTAAAACTGTCAGTTATCAGCCTGTTGAGAGGAGACAAAGGTGATACCCAGTGAAAAATTAACGGCAGAAAGTGGAAGAATAGTTGAGAGCTTGTCAGCTCTGTGAATGGACATGTGAGCTTTTGAGGTTAGGTTTTGCAAAGCATGCGGTATTGTTATACTAACAACTACCATGTATGTGCCTACTTACTTACTTCATAATTTTTTCCATTTTTGCACTTAATGTTTACACCTCGCTCTTCAATGTGTTTCAGAGTGATGTCCTGTTTAATGGATAAACTTAAAACTTACAAGATGACCAAAAAGTGTGAGTCTGCTTTACTGCAAATTCAGTATTTTGTTGCACGGAACTTCAGACTTGATCCACCACTTTATCGAGCATGTCGTATGGATGCTCATAAGCTTTGCCATGCCAAGGTTGAATGGGCAACTCCCAATGAAGCATATTCTCCGAAAGGTCAATATGTCCTTCCATGCTTGTACCGATATCTACGCAACAAGGAAGTCAGTAAAGTGAGTCTACTGTAATCTAATCTATCAATTAAAAAACTGCCCATCTCCTCTTTCCAATCTTTCTTCCTAAAACCAATTGTACATTAAATTTTAGTCTCCTTGTAGTTTGAATCTTGAGATGCCGCAGGTTACTTTCAATGGGGAAGAATGGAGAAAAGGACGATGGATATTCAGGGGAAACGGTCATTCAGAACCTTTAGAAAAACGAAGAAGGTCTTTTTTTGGAGGGGGGGGGGCTGTCTTTTCATTTTTCAAGCTAATCTCATTCTGAATTATCTGTCTTTCAATTTTATTTCTCTACTTCTCAATAAAAACTTCAAAATAATCTCCATTTATCAAAGGATACTTTTACCAAGAACCTCTCAAAAAGAAATTATTTTAGCATGTTCCTTATTTAGAATAAAACTTATGAAACTTCAACCTAACCGGTGCTAATCTTATGACATTATAGGTCTTAATTTTTTTTTTTTTTTGGTCAAAGTATTATATTCTCTCAGGCACTGGTTTTAAATTAACTCATTTGTAATCCATTAACATATCCTATTTTTCATTGTGTTGAGAAGGAACTTAACAAAGTCATAAGTGAAGTTAACAAAAGTAAGACAAATATCATCATCAAAAAAAACAAAAGAAATGGGGTTCGGCTCAGTAGTCATTGAACTGAACTCAATGATGACTGAATCTCAAATGTGCTTGTTTTTCTGTTGTTTTTTGCATGTAGTACCTCACTAAATTGCAACTGATGAGTTAACATTTCAACTTAGCTGATAACTCTAAAATGACAAAACCAGAAAAGAAGTCGCTTTTCAATCAAGCAGAAGTATGATGAAGTCCCCACTTCAGAAAAGGAATGTTAATTTATCTGATTGGTGCCCTCAGTTTTAATTCATCATCTCTCTGTTTTAGTTGAAACCAGCTTGTAAAGAAGAGGTGCAACGAGTGATGCGGCAACGTGCTTTATATGTTGAGCTGAATCCAGAAATCGAGCAAGTATGTCTAGATGATCTTGCTTTGATGTGTTCTGAAAAAATGGGCAAAGGAGATGAAATTGATTGCCTCCAACAAAATCTTGATCAGTAAGTCAGTCTTAATTCATACTTTATTTATTAGTGTACCACCTCCAATATGCCTTCATCAGCCCAGATTACTGTCCCCGTTATTTATGTTATTTTCTTTCAAATGAAAATTATAAGTTGGAATTTGACTTGATAGTGTAGAGCAAAGTTGATCATATTTTTTCGTTGATATTGTGAAAGGTTAGACCTCTTGTTTGACATTATTTTTTTTTAAAAGAAAAAAAAAAAAAACACCTAACTCCAGCTGACAATTTTTGTTTCTAAGAAATGAGTCCGTCTCAGGTGAATTTCGTCTTTAGTATGTGTGAAAAATAATCTTTTTTTTCTCTTTAAGGCTAAAAAGTTCATGCCAGGATGTCATCAGGAACTACACAGAAGTACAAATGGAGGATGTTCAAGTGAACCCAATCATCTTGAGAAACTGTGCTGTTTTTATAGACAAATACTGTCAGGTGTGTGCTCTCTATTGGAACTTATTTCTTTACTGTTTCTTTCTATCCTTATGTTCTCTTCTTATGCTACAAATAATCAAGGTTTCGTATAATTTTAAAATTTTGAAAGCCATTTTGACAGACAAGTAGTTGGCAGTTAAAGAGGCGGTGGCTTGAGATGTTTTCATGGATGGGAGAAAAGAAGATTCTCAGATATGTTTTAAGTTGCAGACAGGTAGGAAGAAAGGGTAAGAATGGGATGGGTGTAAGGAATTTTTATTGAGTGTGAAGCAGCACAGATTTTATTATTATGGAAAGGATTGCTTACAGATTTTTTTTCTTATCTTGCCCTTTTGAGCTAAATATTTGATTACTAAAGTATCTTGTTATACTAGCTTTGAAGGGGAATTGAACATAATGTTAACATTTCCTCAACTTTTAATATAATGTCTTTAAAAAGCGTTAAGTGCAATGTACACCTACTCTAACTGATCAGTATTGTTCATATATTTATTTTTTTTATCAATTAGAAAATTCTCCAATGAAACCTGACTCTTGGATACTAGTATTTTTTTTCTTTTTTTCACCATAGAATGAAATTAACAAGGATGTAATGGATTGCCTGATAAGAATTAAAAATGAACAAAGTCTACGAGAGCAGATGAAATGTCGGGCCACTATTGAACACTACCAATTGATATCTCTTCAAGAATTCCGCTTCACTGTTGCTTTCAAGAATGCTTGTCAAAGCTATGTCTCCCGTTATTGCTCAGTGGCTAAAACTAAACCTCAGGTAAGTGTTTTTGCCTTGAAGATTTTTTCTGCTGTCAATTCTAACTCAAATCATCTGTTGCTCTTGCAAACTTTAATATATGTTTATGACCAGAACATCACCAGGGATATCTTCAGAGAAACAATAGTATAAGTAATACTGAGAACATTCAATTGAAAAGTTTACCAGCGATTGGAATCAATGATTCAATATCTGCATATCCTAGAGAATATGTCCTTAATGTATAGTTTTCAGTTGATCCTAGGAGGTGCCAGGGGGTGAAATGTAGGATGCCCTTCCTCTGTCAATAACGTCCCTCCTGGCAATTAAGATTTTCACAGGTAAGAGTCACATCCAATGCAGTTTCTCACTTCTTAAACATTGAAATTAGAAGGAAGGAAAAAGAAGGATTAGGGCAGCAGGATGTCTATCAGTGCCATGGCAAAATTTTGCTTCACCACAAATAGCACTTAACTCATCAGCAGCATTATAGAGAGATGACCGTGTGGAATGTGGATAAGTGTTCCAATCCTCCCTCTTTGTTTGGGTCAGAGATAGGATGAAGATAGAAACAGAGATAGAGGTAGAGCCATAAATGTAAAAGAAAAAAAAAACAAGTTGATACTATGTGTATTCTAGGAAGGAAGCCTTAACCAGTCAATCTTCTTCTCTTCGATTTTTTATAGATAATCGAATGTCTCAGTGAAATTGTCAGGAATGATACCTTATCAGATGTGCGCAATAAAATTTCCAAGAATTGTCGACAACAGCTTCGATCGCAACTTCTCAGCCAAAGGGAAAATATTGAGTTCAACCCCAAATTAAAAACTTCTTGTCAGATGGACATCAAAAAGTTCTGTGCAGATGTTCCCTCTGGATCTGCTCGAGTAAGATATCTACATTGTTTCTTTTTTCTTTATTTTTTTGCTGTATCATGCTTCTTAACAGTTTAAAAATTTGTATTTAATTGATTATTTTCAGAGTAAATCACAAGGTTTCTCTCTGGTTGATTTCGAGAAACACTCAAGAATTTTGTAGCTGTAGAAATGTTTATGCTCTTTTTTGGACCATCAGCCTTCTAACCCCCTGAAAGTTAAAACTGGGGTCAGAAAGGGTTCTATTATAGACCCTTTGCTGTTCGTAACATTTAAATGATGTGCCCTGTATTTATAATGTGCCTACCCTTGTATTTTATCATGATAATATTCCTTCATATTTAAGATATGGATTACATTTTGCAGTAAGGAACCACTATCTCCAGCTCACCACAAAAGCTTCTTCCTGCATACGGAAATCAATGGCTCATATGCTTTTTCTAACATGAGCCAGAAATAGTGGTTCCATATTGCAAAATGTGGTCCATATGGCCTTGCACTCTGAGGAAAATCCCTACTGCTAATATTGTTTTTATTGAACAAAGGAGAGCAGTATTACGATCATCCAATTTCTCTTGATTTCATGAAACCTCATCTCAATTACAATGCCTGATAGATAATGGGTCAGTTGCGCCGGTCACAGAATTGTATTTTGATGATTGATTCTTGCAGATTAGCCAAAAATAATAAAATCTGTCCAAACCGCAACTTTGTACGCCCAATATTAATCGAGATATCGCCCTTTGAAATGTCAGGTTTTTGACCGCAGCAGTGACACCCTTGATTTTTTCCCCTTGTTCAATCATTAATGCAGAGGGTGCAAAAAACTGGGGGTGCATCGAAACTCCAACGACGTTAAACGTAAAGAAACTCAAGAAACAGACAGATTCGCACTTTAAAGATCTTCTTATCATGAGATAACGCACTTGCCGCAAAGAAATTAGGCGGTCAGTCAGTTCACCTGAGTTTGTGTACGTTTAATGTCATTGAAGTTTCCCGTTGCACCCTCTATCACTGATCGAACAAAAGAGGAAGAAACTAAGGGTGTCACTGCTGCAGTGGATGACGGCAGCAACCTAACATTTCAAAGGGCGATATATCGGTTAATATTGAAGGAAGAAAGTTGCGGTTTAGACAGATCTTACTATTTTCAGCTAATCTACTACACGAATTCAGCATCAAAACACGATTCTGTGACCAGCGCAACTGACCCCTTCACTTTGTCTTTGTTTGCAATTGAAATAAAAATGTCTCTGCTACTAAAGAAAATGTATTTCATAGGTTTTAGAATGTCTGAAAGAACAGAAGAAAAAACTGTCGGAAAAGTGTCATCACATTGTGTTCAAAATTGAAGAACAAGATTTAACGGATAGCTCAACAGATTATACTCTTCTATCAACTTGCAAAACCATGATTAATGCACACTGCCCTGACATGAGTGAAGCTCTTACGTGCCTTAAAGTAAGTCTGTCTCTGTTGAGAAAAAGAAGAAGAAACTTTTCATGAAAAGAACCACTATATTACACCAGTTGAAGATCTACACTAAGAACACCCACCAAAATAAGAATTATAAAGTTCTGCAACTTTGTGGCCCCATCAAGATTTTATGCAAAAAATGTTGACCATGTTTGAAGTTTGCCAAATGAACTCACAAGTGAGAGATCAGAGGATATGGTGTTATTACACAGAAGGATATTGAAGAGATCTAGATCTAAAGTATGAAATTGTACTAAAATACAAAGTAAATATTTTTAAAAGAGGCATATTCATTTTTAGATAAACTTGAAGCACAACTGGATGTATTACAAGACTCGTTTAAATGTGAAGGTGTTGTAAAACTTGCATTAACCTCCAAAGTGAGGGGCTCGTTATCATCTTATTACAGGTCAGGACGTTTTAATTTTAATGTTCTAACAGTCTCACAATTACAACCTTCTAACATCATTTTTGTTTTCAACAGGAGGTGAAGGACCAACCAGGGTTTGATCTCAATTGTAAAATGATTGTTGTTAAACGCATCATTGAGCAGAATCAAGACTACCGTTTCAACCCTGTGCTCACTAAAGCTTGTAAAGTGGATATGGTCAAATATTGCTCAGATCTGATCAAATCTCCTCCTGCTGATACTGAAGTAGAAGGCAAGGTCGTCAAGTGTCTGAAAATCAAGTTCCGCCAACGGAAATTGCGAGCTGAATGCGAACAACAACTTATTGGCATTCTGAAAGAAGCTGCTCTCAATTATAAATTGAATCCACTCCTCCAACATCTTTGCACCGACGAGGTACTAAATCTTGCATTTTTCTACATTAATAGTTAAGAATTTCAACAAGAACGAAAATATTAGAATAATTCATTGAATTATGCCAAGCTCTGCTGATTTATGTCACTTCATACTTTAAAAAAATAAAAAAAAATTGTTTTAAACCATGAAGTAGAATAAAGTTCATACTATAATGTTTTGCAAAGCTTCAATGCTGAAGGATGTAAAGAAAAAAAGGGCTTTATCTTCCATTTTGATGGCTGGTCTGTTGGCTATAACTGAATAAATCCTCTTTCAACCTAGATGTTTCCAATTTTACGTTGTCCTCAAATCATTCTGCAGTTTTCATTGCGATACCATCCTCTAACTTCTGAAAGTTAAAAGTGTAGTTATCTCATGTGTCAGGAATTTTCAATGTAGCTCAGGAACTACCAAAGCAGTAGTGATCATGATAAGTTTCGATTTGATCCAAAAACATATCGCGATTTTATCGATGCCACTTTATTGCAATATTATCAGATAAAATATTGCGATTTCATCGCAAAAATTTGCAACAAAATCGCGATTTTATCGACGGAAATTTATTGCAATATAATTGACCAAAAACTCTTATTAAATTGAAATTAAATTTCGATTTTATTTAACACAATTTTAAGGAAATAGAATTGCAACAAGGTCGAGAATAATTGTTCAGATGTTGATGATACTAGCGATTTTATTGCTAAAAACTCGTAAAAAAGTGGCAACTGAATTTCCTAATATTGCGTTTTTACTGTTGAAAAATGATTCTTGGGTAATGTGATTTTACTGATAAATAGGCTCAGAAATTTACTTTTTTAACCAGCTTGTTTTTTCTCACCTCTTTCATTTATTTTCCCTCTGGTCAGGATTTTCTATCGGTTGTCGGTAAGCTCTCTGGTTTTTGCATTTTCTAAAGATTCCCCCAAATTTTTTCAATGTTTTTTGCGCTTATTTTTTAGATCAAATCTCTATGCGGTGGAAAGGATGATGACCAAGAAGGCGGTAGCGTTGAAGAGTGCTTGAAGGTGGCTTTGCAAAATGGACAGCTGGTCAATAGAGCTTGTCGTCTAGAAGTTGCTGGACTAATTGAAGAAACACGAGTAGATATACATGTCGATCCTTTGCTACACCGTGCTTGTGCATCTGATCTTAACGTTCATTGCTCAGATACCCCTCCAGGAGGAGGTCGACGTAAGTACCTTTTTTCCTAAAGTTTTTTCGATATTCCAAGTTCAACAGCTGGAATAACTCATGATAAAATTGAGTGAATTGTGATGAGATAGAATGAAAATGCAAACCCCCATGTTAGAGATTTAACTTTAAAAAAAATGCCAAATAGTTTAAATTGAAAGTAATGAGAAAGGCAGAACTCATTGGAAATCAATTTTTAATATATTATTCATATCCCATTGAAAAAATGTCCATGTAAATATGAAGCACCAAGCCAAGAATATAAACATTTGTCACTTGAAATACAGCGATATTCCTCAAACTAGACGCAAATTAAATTCCATGAATATAAATTTAAGGTTTCTCCTCCCTTCAACTTGATTTCCGGGAAAACAAAAAATTTAGACAAATAAATCATTTAAAAAATCGATTAAATTTTTTTGTACCATTGAGAACAAAAAAAAATCGATCAATTTGTATCAATTTTTTAAATTATTTTTAATGTGTTGTTAAAAACATTTTTTAAATTATTTTCACAAATTATGCAGATTACGCTCTAAGGAGTGGATTTCAGACTTTTCAAATGGGCCCAACTCTATTTTCAAGCAATTTTCTCTTGAAATGTATATTCTGTTGGTTGTATCTCTTGCTTGCAACAGACCCATTATATCCAGGTTCCTTATCACACAATCATGAACTTTCGGACCACCTCTCAGGTTCAACTTTAACAAACCTGACCCTAAATTAAGGCTGAAAATGTGTTGAATTCAAAGGCAAAATGTTTCATTTTCCAATAGTTTCAGTAGTAAACGTAGTTCAATTTCAATGGGCAAAGATTGTCAAGACTTACTTTACCTTAGGAGCAATGTTAGTAAAATTGAAACAACAAAAAATCTGCAAAATTTATTAGAAAAAATGAACATTTCTGAGCTTTTGCTGGGTTCTTGTTACAGATATCCAGTGTTTGTTGAATATTATTGCTGATCCTGTCAAAGCTGAAAGTTTAAATCGCAACTGTCATGTAATGTTATCGCAGAGGCTGGAACTTTTTAGAGAAGCAAGCAACAATTTTGTAAGTTTACAGCTTTATCTATTTTCCTTTTTGTTACCTTCTTATAATTTTGTGAAAAAATTAATTATGTCCTGTCCTTAGTGTCATTTTATCGGTCACTTTGAAGTAAAAGAGCTAATTCTCAGTGACAATTCTATCGGTAAGGCAGGGAAGGTAATGCCTCACCAAACTGGCACCTAAAATTCGTAAACACAAGAGACAAATTTAAATAGTGCCTTTTCGGGGCTAGAGGTGATAGGAAGGGAAAAAAGAAACAAAACCAATTCTGCTTATACTGCAAAATATCCCACAGATCGACAAGGTTTTTCGCCAAATGAACCTGTAGACAAGGTAAGAATTTAAACATTCTGATATATGTATCTCAACGAAAATTTCTTGCGAAACACGATTACTGAAATTAACTCCTAACCAAGGTATTTAATGTTTCTCAAGGCATAGATTCAAACCTCTTGCTCTTGAAAAAACTGATGTCTTTGTGAGTCAAATTGCATTCTAAACGTTACCTGACAACGAATGCGACAAAACTGTGTGTGATTAATTTTTCGAATTTTTTGTTTGTTCATGTTTTAGATTGCTCTCCCACAGAGCATGGGGGATCTCTACGGTCAAGTTTCACACTCGCCGCAGAAGAAATATTTTTTCCTAATGTTGTTCTCATTTATCGGGATGGTGTTCCTTTCGGGTCTCTTCTTTGGCCGTGCCTCTCGTCGGTCAGTGTACTCACTTTTAGTATCAAATCCTAAGAGCAACAAGTTATGATACCAAAAAAATTTTAGGATCTGAGGACTCAGTCAATTTTATTTTTTGTGGATGCACCAAAGGCATTGAAAAGGAGATCATGGAAAACACTGAAAAAAGGAACAATCAGAAGTCCCCCTTTCTTAAAATACCTGATGGTTTTTTTCAAAATCAGAGGTGCAGTTTGGCTGTCTTGCCATTGAAATACCAAGGTTTAAAGCATATTATCAAGTGCAAGTGAAAGTTTTGAATTCTTATTTGAGTTTTGATATGGTGCTGCCAACTGTCAAGTTAGCTGTAATATTGGTGAAACGAACGCAACATATTGTTTCTATGTTGTTACTTGACATGGCGACAATACCAAGAAGTGTTTGCTGAGCCCAGAATTGGAGAAAATGTATATGATTGATGTATATGATGTATGTGTTTGATGTATGTGTATGATTTCGATTGGCATGCTTCGGTCAAATGAGGGCTTCAAATTTTTCTGAGCCTAGGAAGAAAAAAATCCGAGGCAGGCTCCCAAGTGCTTACAATATGCAAGTAAGCACGATGTTGTAGACTTCCCCACTTTCATGCACAGATTCCAATTCTTACTTATATTGGGCTCTTTCACCCCTGAATTATTTAGCCCCCTGGCTCAAATAAAAAATCTAGAAGTTTCTCTTTGATTTAAATTAAATTTCATTTCTATTGTGTTCATTGTTTTCCACACAAAACTTCGATAATAAATGATTTTTACATGGCTTAGTTCAAGTCCTGTCTGTTGTTGAAGTGTTTAATTTTTCAAATGTCTTAGGTGAATACTTATGTGATATTTAAAACTTGTAAATTACTTTAAGTTGCTTGGAACTTTTTTTTTTTTAATCACAAGTGTTAGTCGTACTGTCTAGTTCTTGGCTGAAGGCTTTTACTTTTCATATAAGCACTTGCCACTGACTGAGAAAAAAGTGTGAATCTTTAATAAAAGATCATTTCAATGTGTTATTACTAAGGAAGGAAAACATTTCTAAAATGGTGCATTTGTTTTTTTAGAGTGTTATGTAATTTTGTTAAGTAGAGTTGTAGAAAACTAAAAGAAATTTACTTGTATTTCTTCAATAGTGTTGACTGTTGCATTAATATTCTTTCAATTGAAGCGATAATGAAGAAATAAATGTGAGAGACATTGCGCATTAAACAATGATGCCGATAATTTAGCTCTTCTTGGCTTGTTACTGATTCACAGCCTAGCTACTTTACAGCTTTGGATTAATGACTAAAGTAAAATTAAGGAGTCGTACAAGAGAGCAAAAATATAGTGTAGCTTTAGACCCTACCAGAGACCGTGCTGAGCTTTTTCTTTCCAAATTGGGAAAAACGATGATCTCATATGCCGTTTCTCATGTCCAAATATTGCTCTCTTAAAACAACATGCAAGTTTAGTTTCCTCCTCACTGTTCAAAAAGTCTTTGAGCAAACTGATGCCACTACTTCTACATAAGATTTCGACATCTAGAGGTATCATTTGCTCAAATGAAAAGTTGATTTATATCAATCCCTCAACTCTTTAGGACTTGTGTACTTTAAAGTACTGTCTATTGTTCTATAAAGCGGCCTTAACACCTTTATGACTCGTCCTCAAAAAAGAAAAAAAAAACAATTCAATTGAGAACAGAGTGAGCAACTTTTGATATGTTTTCATAAAAATTATGAAAACATTTCGAAGTGCATTTCAAGGCCAAAGGAAAGTAATTTTGCGATTTGACTAGAAACTAAAATACTATTATTCTTTCTTTCAGTGTAAAAATCTTGGAAAGAAATTCATAAACTTTATCTAGTTTTAAATGTTTCTTGTTACTTAGTAGTTGGAAGGTAATTAAATTTATGTCTTTCTGAAACAAAACAACTTCTTAGAATAAGTGTATTTGTTTGTATAAATTAAAGTGTAGGACGTAAAATAGTGGATGGTTTTTTACCTCAAACTAGTCTGTTTTTAAAAAAAAAAGTTTGATAAGGCCAATTGAGCCCGAATGCATAATATCTTTGCCTCAGTCCCTGTATTTAAAGGGAATCTATAGTGGTCTCCAGGGGCGCTTCAGGGGCTCAGAGGTTTAATTTTTGTGATTTTTTACAGCTATTGTACAGCTTACTTGTAGTTTTAACAAATCGGCAAAACTTAACAGAGTTCAATGCAAAGTTTTCATTTAGTGACCAGAAGCAATAGTTTCTACCATTTACCGTGGCTGAAAAATAAAAACAATGATCTCGAAAGATGCGGGATTGGAATACAGAAATGAGTAAAGTCATATGAAACAGTCATAAATTGACTGGCAATGAACAGTTGCATTTAGCAATCACAACTGCTTCTTTTACTTCTAAAAGGCGCAAATCCATTTTCTCATGGGAAATCCAAAATCTGTGTGACATCAAACATTTTCAGGTCTAATCACACTGGTCCTAAGCTGTAATTTGAATTTAAGATCAAAATAATTCATCATGCCAAAAAAAGTGACTGTTTCTCTCTTAAAGCTGGAAAAAGTGACTTCAACTTTGCCCTTTTGATCCTACATACTTCATATAAATGTATAAATAAAAAAATGTATAATGTGTGTACATGCATTTGTAATGTAATGAGACTGGTTTTAATAGGCTAAAACAATGAAAAGTATCGTTTTCAAGGGTGACCAAGCTGCAAAATCCCCCTAAAAATGGTCATTTACGGTTGATAAATAAAAGATTTGGCAAAAGAAACGAGATTTACCCAGAAAAGACTGTAAATCGGCACATCATGTAAGTTTACACTATACACAACCCTTTGTCAGCCACTTTTCACCATATTGATATTGTTACCTGCACGCTAAAAACTAATGAACAGACTGAATTCGGCAAATGTTAGCCAAGGATATATTACTATCTAAGCTCTATCCAATTAATGATTATTTTCCCTGAGTACAGTTATTTTTATGAATTTAATTTTATGTACAATTTAGATTTTAATCTTGTATCAATGCATTTTTGTATTCTCACTATCAATTTTTTGTGTGTCAGCCTTTCACCCTTGTATTATAAAACTGGCAAGGGGAAGCTCAGAAGTGGCCGCCTCCAATTTTGATGGGGTTTCCGTTGAAGAATGGTAAATTAACTAAATGTTCCACCAGAGCCAAAAAAATTATCTGAACCGTAATACCTTCCTATCACGCAAGCCCTTAAATCCGTAAACATACCGTTTGAAGTTTTGCTTGAACAAGAGGTTAAAGTAAACCACAGATGATAATTGGGCCTCAGTCTGATGAGTAGGTAATCTGATTCTTTTCCATATACTTTAGTTTACCTATTTACAATTGTCACTGTCATTAGCGAAATCAAAGAGAAAAGGAAAATAGATGACAATCGCAACTAACAATTAACAGCACTTCATTTTCTAGTGGTTTACAGCAATCCAGCTTTTTTCAAGTTCCGATCTCAAGGGAGACGAATTCAAAACCCACTGACTGCATTGCAATGTTTGTTTGATGCATGTGTACTATGAGGTTTCGTCCCTATACTTCATTTTCTAAATTTTTAAAAGTTTCAGGACAAGTCAGAAGATAAATCGACAGTGTAAGTCCGCAATCACGTATCTCTGTTTGCGATATGGCAGACTTCCTGTCATACTTTATTTTTTAAATAGAAAACTACTCGACGGTAATTCTCTTAAGTGCCGTAATTTTTCTTCTCTGAGCAAAGAAAATTCTGCAAAAACTTCAAGCAATGATGTCAATTTGTTCTCCTTTAAAAAAATAATACAGAGGTGGAGATTTTCAAACACCGCGAACAACGTGATTGCAGACTTATGCTGTCAAAATGACATATTTGTGAAGATGCCCGCTTTTTATGAGCTCAACATGAAAATAATCAGTTATACAAATCAATTGTGAGACCAAGAAAATTGGAAACAGAGCTGTTAATTTTTCTTTCTTTCTTTTTTTCTTTCTCTTTTCCCTTTTTTACCCACATATGGGAAACAATTTTAATTCTCTCCCGAACCTAGTTTCTTATGAATCTCTGTCAAAAATAGACTTATGTATTGTAAATCCTTGTATGTAGAAGGTCTCAATTCGCTTTGTTTCTTTCAAATTACTTAACTTTTAAATTCCTGCATTTTACCAATAAAAACTCAAGCTGTGAACAATATTTGTCTGCTCTTTTTTCACTCTTTAGTTTTTGAGTAGTCTTAAGTTATGGCACCTAAATATCTTCTCAGAAGCAGAAAATACAAAAACGTGAATTTTAAAATTTTATCATGGTTTTTAATTTTATATCTTTTTAAAAATTAACTTTTTTAAATCTTGTGTGGACCATAGAGGAAAACTCCTAAATGACTGATGAAATATTCAAGTTATAAATCTCCTTTCATCCTTTCTTGCATTAAAATGCCACCATCTACTTTTACAAATTTTGTACCTTTTTATTTTAGTAAATTGTTGCAAAAATTTTAATTTTTGATGTTACATATTTTGCGGTATATTTCATGTTGAGCATCAATATGAGTGATTCACAGGATTCAGTAGAATATTGATTTCTATTATTTATTTTTTTAAATTAAAATACATTTACTTTTAACAAATATTTTACATAAATTTTATCTTCTAATGAACTAAAAAAGGTTCCATACTTAACTCGTACATTATACAAAATGTTACGTTTTTTCAAGTCCAAATCTAACAGTGAATGCTTTCAGGGGCTACTTTAATCAAAAACTAAAATTCTAGAATTGATGGGGTGAGTTAAACCTACCTAATTTTCAAGAATTATGAGGCTTTACTTGAGGAATTATAGTTGAACAAAGTTGTAGAAACTGAAGGAAAAAAGATATGTAGGATAACATGATATGTTATACAGAATTATTATTAAGAGTTTTGATAAGTCTAAATTAAAAATTACAAAATTATAGAAACACCTGTGAAATGCCTATAAAATTTGATAATATGAGAAAAATGGACGGAGTTAAACAGAAAGGAACCAAGCCACATCGGGATCGAACCGAGAAAAAGAGGTTTAAAGTTTAGCTCCTGCATAAGACTCAATGTAAAAGATAAACTTCAAGTTCAATTTCTGCAAAATTTGCTCCAACAAAAACTTTGATTTTTTGGCGATAGATAGTAGAGCACTGGTTGAGTTCAAAACCACTCATAACTCAATTTTTTCCAAAATGTGGGTTGGTTCCTTTCTGCTTAACTCAGTCCAAATATGCTCTTTTTTACCTTTACATGTGATGTTTAATATAAATGCTTTACCAGCAATTGCAGTTACTCTGCTAATCTAGCGATATTACTTTTTTTTGGGATTGTATTTTCCATTTTATTTACGTTTCAAATAGTGTTTTTACAATAATTCAAAGCAAAAAATAACTTCTGCAACTATGTTGAACTATAATAAAATAATATAGGTGGTACTCAGGTCCGCCACATCCCATCTCGGGCCCTGGTACCAGTTTTAAGGTCTGGGCCCCAAGCATGGAGAGGGGGGGGGGTCCGAGGGGCATCTCCCGAGAAATTTTAGAATTTACACGATTAATCTGACGCATTTTGAAGCTTCCATAAATAATTTTTCCATCAATTTCTGCGGAATAATTATGTTTTTTTTTCTACTTTCAGCACAAACTTGCGAACTGTTGCATTCAAAACATCTGGAAAATTTTCATTTTTTGGGGGGGGGGGCATATGATACTATATTCAGTTCTAAGAGGGCCAGGCCCCCCTGGACTTCTCCTTCGTTTGTCTATTGCGAAATTTTTAGTCTGTTGCGAAATTTTTAGGGTAAATTTTTCACTTTTTCTTACAAAACAAGGGTTGCATGTGAATTCGTAGTGGTTTTTCACGGGTAACACGGGTCCCCTCCGGGGCCCGGGCCTCGGTACCAAGAACCCAGTATCCCCCCCTTGTGGCGGGCCTGCCTTCATGCACGCTGGGCTTGTCGATTTCCTCTGAAATTTTTGCAGTGGTGAATGCCTAGCTGAAGTGCGCTTCAGCTAGAATTGTATTTAGCAAATAGGTGGTTTTTCTACGAGGATCAAAAATAAACAAGTGGCACGGAATATAACAAAAGAATATGAACTATACAAAACGATAATCCGGGTATCGGAACTTGGCTGTTTTGAAAAAGCCTTCAAATGCGGCGTGATACCTTACGCATTCCGGAGAGTTCAAATAGTTGTATCATTGCGCCGTAAGATTGTGACTTAAGATTTAAATGGAGATAGCCTCCATGCACGGTGGGCTTGGCGATTTCCCCTGAAATTTTTGCAGTGGTGAATGCATAGCTGAAGTGCGCTCTAGCTAGAATTGTACTTAGCAAATAGGTGGTTTTTCTACGAGGATTAAAAATAAACAAGTGGCACGGAATATAACAAAAGAATATGATAAATGCAAAACGATAATCCGGGCATCGGAACTTGGCTGATTTGAAAACGCCTTCAATTGCGGCGTGATACCTCACGCATTCCGGAGAGTTCAAATAGTTGTATCATTGCGCCGTAAGATTGTGACTTAAGATTTAAATGGAGATAGCCTCCATGCACGCTGGGCTTGTCAATTTCCTCTGAAATGTTTGCAGTGGTGAATGCATAGGTGAAGTGCGCTTCAGCTAGAATTGTATTTAGCATCAATTTAAATATCGAGCTTACAGGGCCCAAAAAATCAGCACCTTCTAACACGAAAAACACTAGAAATATGCCAATTTTTAGATGTCAACATAATCGAGATGGCCAAGAATGCTCATAAACGCAAAAATAAGTAAATTCATGCAAAAACTAAGTCAAATACGTTCTTTACAAACGAAGGGCCTTAAAAATTGAGATAAAAAATCATTCTGGTGGCTTGGAGTGCATCAAGGCGGATAAAGAAGTGCATAGGTTGTTGTCTCTGATAGGTTGGCTGCTATATATTTTGGGGTGCCACACACGGGAGGGATGAGGCGCCCAAAAGTGAGGCTCTGCTGCGCGCGCACGTCGCATGTTTGGATTGTAATTTCGCGGCAGATTCGAATCCAAGGGGCGAGTTCCATAATACATTCTTCTCAAATGCACAGTATTAAAGTAAAAAAAGTCCAGAGTTTTAATCACGATTACTTTAATTAAATTTAACCTCTCGTAAATCCATACGTAAAAAGGGTTTCCTTCTTCGTAAATTTTAACAGTTTTATAGTGAGTTTAGTGATTAAAATTTACAATTTTTAGGAGATTTTTTAAAGTTCT